AACCGGATCAAAAGAATCAAGGTGGTCACAATCTAAACTGTTGCGGACCTCTTGCTGTGGACCTCTGATGGACCTGCCGAGGCCTTCAAAGGGCTCCCCAAAAGTAGACCGCAATAGGCTGCAAAGGGTCAAACTGTGCGACTTCTTGACTGCTATCCCCGACTGATTTCCATCGATTTGTAGGCCCATTTTTGGGGTCTCAGGTGTCCAATATTTTACAAATATTTTACAGCTATTTTAGCAAATATTTTACCAACAGGGTCAGTAAAATCGGCAGAACCTAGTGGGGGTTTGCTAAAATACTTGCACAATATTTGTAAAATATTGAGGCCCTCCAAAAGTCCCCACTCTGTAGGGTACATGCAACCACGCACGCACCCAACAGCTGTGCCTTGAAGTGGGCAAAATGTTGCCCACTTTTTGCGCAACAAGGGGGAACAAACTGAGGAGAACACCACCACCCCGAGCACGTTCCAGCGCCGGGGAAAAGAGCAGAACTTGTGGGGGTGGGTTCCTCGGTGACTTGCCTGGGGTTTGTGTGTTGGGTGTCCTGTCCTCTGGGCCGACAGGATGAAGCGTGGCAGCATCTTCTCCGAGCGGCAACAAGAAGGACCCACCTGGAGCTATTGGCCACCTTTGTTTCTGCCCTTGTGTTTGTTGTTGTTGGTTGTCGTTGCCGGCGCTTTTCGTCGGGGCGCTGGCTCAGTCTCTTTTCTGCGTGTGCGCCCGCTCCTCGTCGTGGGGCAGGGGGGTCCCCTGCTAGTCGAGTGCCAATGTGCCACCCCTGCGCCCTCGCATTGCGGAAAGCCAAGACTCGAAATATGCCGACAATGAGCAAGAAGAGGAAGATCGCCCCCCACGAATTTGAGACACCGGCAGGAAAAGGGGGATGGAGTGTTTCTTTGTCGGGGAAGGAGTGGCCAGGGGCTGCCGCATCAACACACACACGAGGGGCGCACGGGTGGCCCCCTATCTCTTTCACCTTTCCCACTTCGTGGGTGCGTGAGTGGAACCATCTGCCCAGACGGTCTGCACCATGGTGCACCTTGCTGCCCAGGTGCTTCCGGGTGTTGGGTCGGAGGTGGCGGCACCTTGTGGGTTTTTGAGGTGCCCAGCTGCAGCAGAAGACCCACACCGCCCGCCGGGTGTTTTTGCATCGTGGCACGCGTTGGCGCCATCATGTGGAACACTCCCGACGACAACAGACACCAACAGACCACCATCGCCAGGCCTTTGCGACATCGTGTCGGTCTGCTTTAATTGTTTCGCCCCAATTGCCCTGACTATTGCCAAAGCTAGCAACCTAGAGCAAGCCACGCGCGGCCCCTCACTCGGTGCGTGCCTTGTCTGTTCGCTGGTCGGGGTGCCCGAGGTCAGGGGCTAGAAACGATCGCCAAAAATGACCACAGACAGAACAACACGACGGAAGGGCGCCAGCGCTCTCGCGTGTAGTTGTGGATGGCGCGCAGCCTAGCAGCTGAGCCACATGCCTGCGCACCTTGGTTCATGTGTTAGGATTGGGGTGCAGTGTCGGGGGGCCCTCGTTGTTGTCTTCTGCTTGGGTGTTCGGTTGATCAGTGTTGGACTTTTTGCCGGTGTTTTTGCCTCTCGAAAATCCCCACACATGTCACAAACCCCCAAAAATTTGCTAAAGTATTGGCCTCGTTTGGCAACATTTAGGCTCGTTATAACAATTGGACTCCTTCCATCATGTTGAGGCATTTTTGCATAGTTATGCGGTAAACGATCCCAGCAGTCACCAGCGTACTCGACGCAGTAACACCAGAGACGTTTATCAACTTTGGTCAGCATTGTGCGAACACTGCCGAACAAAGTCCGCATAAAACGTTCGCAGGTCCCATTCATCTCCAGACTATAAAATAAGGAACAGCCGGACTGTCTGAGACTCGCAGCGATTGCATAACTTTGGTCATGTCGTCACTGCTCAGGACAGGTTCTCCATCCCTCCGGAGGAACCACACTACCTTGTCATCAAGTGATAAGGAGTAGTCCTGGCGAATGCCTTTGATAACTTCTTCTATTTCCTCCACCCAGTCACTTTTCAGCTTAAGCGGTCGACAGAGCACCTTCTTAATTACATCACAGATGGCCACTAGTGCGCATCTCTTTCTTTGACCTGACTGATACGGGTTTGATTCCAGCAGCAAAGTCGATTGCTAATAACTTCAATGGTTCAGGTTTATAGTTCGAAGCATCTCTAGCTTTTGCATGTGGTGCGCGTTGGCCTTTATGTAGATCACACCCAAGGCAATTTACCTGGAGGCCATCTATATGAAAGCGCCCACATCTTCTATGAAGTTCGAGTCTTGTAAGATAACAGCTACTGACTCCTTCTTCTACTGTTGAGCAAATATAACCGCTATCAGTCTCTTCTTTAAATAAGTTGCATGCAAGTATGGGAAGCTGCAAGCGTGGGTGACTTCTTATTGGTATGGCCTGGCCGGTGTCCGTACGTACGAGACAACCGCCTGCGCCTTTGAAGTTGAATTCCCATCCTAATTGCGAGCAGTTCCCTTCACCTAGCCAAGGTGTAATACGATCTAAGTCCTTTGGTAGTGAATCATAATAAGCACCACACTGGAGCCCTAAGATGTTTGACTTTAGTTCTCCTACTCTTCCGTCTTTACTTCCAGCGCTACCAGTAATCCTACAAATTCTCATAGTTATTTCACTAAAATCATCTTTGTGTCTTGAAAGATATTTGTTGGCACAACTATCAACCAGACTAACTTCTTCTCTTGCAGTAATGGAACTAGTTGAGAGACTATGCCCCACAAGTTTTACCTCCCCTTTATTATTTATATTTATTTCTTCGCCCTCATCTTCATCCAAGTTCAGCGAGCAAAATCCACTTTCCACCGGTTCTGCAACTCAGCTCTGCTTTCCGCCGTTGAGAGCTTGCCACAGCTCCGCAACTTGAGACATGTGAACCATGCCATTACCCTTTCCACCTTTACCCGTAGCAAGCACTACTAGATTGGGAATTGGTGTTCCAGTTCCAGTTTGCCTGGTTCTGTGGATTCTTCCAACAAGACGCGGATTTGTGGCCCGGTTTGTTGCAGATCCAACAGACTGGACGGGTATCTTGTTTTCCAAGACCTTTATTATTTTTGCTCTGCGGCTTTCCTTTGCCGTTCGAATTGGAGGCATAGACCTCGGCGGCGATCTTCTTCTTTGTGTTTGCCTTGAAGCGCTTGTGAGCACTTTTAGACAGAAAGAGCTTACCACCTTCATTGGCCTTTTGCTCGTCATCCTCCTCTTCGCGAGAACGTTTATTCGAGGTTTCCTGAACATTGACCGGGAACGCCTTCCCGAAGGAGTCGTTCTCAACTTTGTAGGTTCCCTCCTCGATCAACGTCGCAAGACGCTTTTCAAGTCGGTCACCAATCTGGTCAAATGTCAGACCATCTTCTTCCTGCATGCGTTCGATCGTTGCCTTGAAGTTCTTGCAGAACATCTCGGGCAACTTCTGCAGCAGTGCGCCATTCTGTTGGTCACTTTCTGGCACTCCTGCTTCCGGCGGGTACACGGTGGGCGACTGGTTCATGATGTCTCGGACTTTCGACAAGAATCCCGTGACATCTGCAGGCTGATCCGCGTTGTGGAACTTCAACACACCATCCGTAAGCGGTTTTACTTTCATCCGTTGTTCCTGACGGTTGTTTTGATCGAAGTGTCCTACATCACGAAGGAGCACAACAACCTCACCTGCATCCATCACATCCGCCTGACCATTATCGTTCTGGTTGTTGATGAACGACGCAGCGGCACCTTTCAGACTACGAATGATCGCATCTTTCAGGTTGCGCCACTTCTGCCGAGTTATTTCCTCCCGATTGGTAACTCCGTTAGGGACACCATGAGGAGCTGCCGGAATGCCGACTGCATTCGTGTAGTTTTGAAGCAGGCCGAGACGGCTAGCTTCCTGGCGTATGGCGTTTTGCCATGCTCGCCAGTCGGACTTCTGTCCGAGTTTCTTCGAGAGTTCTCTTGCATCGCCGGACATTTTGAAAAGTTGTTTCTAGATGGATTTCTACTCTATACTAAGCTCAAGGGTCAAAGTAGTGCTGGACCATTCGGACGCAGACTGTTAAGCCGCGTCTAGTTTCTCGGTGAGAAACACTTGAGAGTGATACTGTTTGCACAATTTGCACTCACAGCCTGAGACTAATGATCTCTGGCTGCTTTGATCCCTGTGGATGTTCATTGGGGTTGCAAGGAGGAAGTCTCAGCTTCATCATTGGGATACCATGTCGCATGGGGAACCTTTCATATGCTTCATATGGAAACGCTTACGCTATCATCATTGACTCGTACGATCATCATGCACTGGCATTCGTCATTGATCAGAATTGACAAGACGTTATGGACCTGGCTACAGCTATGAAACATTCGTCATTTCTTCTATCTGAATACGTTGAAGGTCCTTTGCCTGCTGATCATTGATTTTGGAGCTATATGCGTTTAGGTCTGTAGGTTATCTTGGAGATCTTTCCTGTGTTGCTTTGTCCTTGACTGTGTTGGGAGACTTGAGCCACATACGAGAGAGAGAGGAGAAGCCAGAGACACCCGCGCGACGGTAAACCCGTCGGGCGTTTGGATGGTGCTCCGGTAACCTTTTGCCTGGCGATCTTGGTCATTTTGATGATCTTCATCCTTGTGATCTTTGTGTTTCTTCTAGGATTACGATCTTGACCAACAATTTGTCAAAATTGAAAAAATATAAAGGCAGACGTGCTGCATTTATATATTCTCAGGAAGATGTTGTTGATCCTCATACTCTCACTCATGAGGACTGTACGCTTAAAAATAGGAGTACATGTTTGACTTTATTCTCAATAAACTTCTGAATACGAAGATAGATTATTTACGAATAGGAATCTACTAAATACGTTGAATGCGAATGGTCTGGTGTCTGTATTCTCTACGAATTTTCAATTTGTTCAAAAAATCAACATCACAATCTTCCGAACATCTGTTCACCCATCCGGATAACCTCCTAAGTTTAGCGCGTGACCTACCGCATTTGGGGCCACGGTCCACGTCGCTGCTGCAGCACCTGACTTAGATGATAATTAATGGATGTGCGTTGTAGCTAGTTAATAGAAGTTGTATGTTTTGAAATGAAACAGCAACAGAATGTAGATGTTCTTTCTATCTAGTTGTAGAATAGGATTGGCATTGCTCTTTCGCCATAACAGTTGCTTGCCTTGTTTTCAAAAATGCTTTCCCTGCCCACTCCTGTGCAAAAACGAATTGCTGGGCCTCACACATGCCTGAAGACGTCAGCCTCACGCTATGATCCAACTGAATCTCGGCGAAAGTTAGGTATCGAACTCGACCATTGGAGAATTGGACTTCCATATCGTAGTCCTGGTCTGAGTAGAGTTTGGTTATTTTCCCGTACTCGTTGGAGCCAATGCAGTCCCAAGAGACAAGGCCGCCAAGCCAAGAATGGCCACAATGACTAAACTTACTACTCGTCCCTTGTTGTTGTTCATTACTGCTACTGCTTCTGCTTGAGCCTGCTGGAAAATGATGTGAAGAAGAAGATGATGGTGATGAACCAGCACTAGGTTCAGGACTATTTTTAATAGGCAATGTTTCTACTAGTTTTTTATCATGTGTTGCTACGCTTCTGCTGACAGCTTTGTGTTGAACGTCAACATCAGCAGATGAAGCCAAAGCGGAATCATGGAGTCCTTTGCCACGTCGCTTTATGCTGATTTGGTCCCGACGATTCTCTTCGTTTTCGGTCTCGGGGCGGTCTTTAGCGGTAGAAACACTCTTTCTCTTCCAGTCAGATGAATATGAGATTGAGAGCTTTGGGTAGTAAGTAGTTAGACTTTTTTTACTTTGACTTTCATTTCGGTTCTACTTCTACTAGGATGAAGATACCATAACTTTCAACTTCACCAGCGTTCCCACCTGAATCCCGTAGTCCACTAGCAGACCCATGATCAAACTAAAGTTCAGGAAAAAATTCTCACGCAGATTCGCCTCATGCAACTTCAAGACCGCTGTCACGTGATATACCAATTCCAGACTACCATGAAGGAGTAAAAGCATCGACGACCCGTCATGGGGGTACTGGCAGACGTAGAGCATAGAGCGAATCGCGTTTTTGATGTCTTCGAGCGCACAGCCGTGGACGAATCTGCTAGGGTTATCGTACTTCTGTGCTCTACAACGCAAGTCAGGTACCTCACGCGAGACTATTTCGGAGAAAGTACTTGCGATCTTATCCTGCAACTTCATCTCAGTAAGAGGACCCTTGTTGTTGACGGCTTTTTTCGTTCTGGCACTGGCTAGATTGCGGCTTCTAGTACTACTGTCGGCATTTTTAGTCCCGCTCCCATGGTCGGGTGCATCCAACGAGGCCTTCCAGACTTGAAATCTTCGAACTGTCCTCACTAAGCGAGTCAACATCGTGGCTACGTTGAGAGCACTCCCGATCATCTTGCTGTTGGTTATCGCCATTTGTGCAGTCATTGATACGGCTTCGAGCTGAGGGTTGTACGGTTGAAGAAGGAGAGACGAGATTTTGTGAGAAATAGATGAACAAGGGCATCAGGATGAGTGGAGTTTACGACCAGCATTCCTCTGTTCGGCCACATCATTCAAGTAGATTCTGTATCTTTCACAACCACGACTGCCACGACCTACGATCTAACAACCACTACACCATGTCACAAAAGTGAAAGCAGTACCGACAACCCCTGTGTCCACGTTTGGTCATTGCCTTCCCGAATCTGCGTTCTATCCATGACGCTCATCAAGAGCTCACCAGCGTTGCCCAGGCCGCCAGCTTGGGACAGTCGAAGAGCGACAGCGTACTCTTGCCCTTGCCACGCCAGCAGGTTCGGGAAAAGCTCTTCTATCCTCCAGAGCAGGTTTACGAGGTATTTCTTTTCGGCGGTTTTAGAGGTGTTGACTCGTCTTTTCACGGATGTGCATGAACGTATTCGTTAATCATGATCTTCTCGATGGATTGTAGTTTTATTCATTTAGTAGATACTGTTACTGGCTGGTCCTGGCGCAGGTGCATTTTTTGACAACACTAGCCATAACCTTAGTCACCGGCAGCTCCAGGTTGAACTTGCGTCGCCAGTCACGCATTATCTCCCTCAAACCCCTGTTGTCTAGTCCGACAACATCCAATGCTCTACGCTGATGAAATAGTAAGTGCTCTAACCAGGCTGCGTCAGCAGCCAGGAACATCGCTTGCGTACTCGATCGAATAGTAGCCGACGCCTTGTCGTGCACTCGTTTCAAACTGAACAAGTGTTTTGAAGCCAGGCAAAGTGCAGAGCTGATGTCGCCAATGGCCTGACCTGCTGTGTCGAGGTGTCTGCCCGTAGCCGCTTCAGGGAAGATTGGTTTCATCTTGCCCGTCGGAGGAGGTCCTGGAGTTGAAGAAGAAGGCCCCACTTGCTCTTTCTCGTCTCGTCTGTACGCAAATCTTGTGGCACGCAGAATCCGTAGCAATGCTTGACGAGCAACACGTTCTCGGTAGGGAAGGCCAAGAAAACTAGAGCTTGTACTTCGACCTCCTGCGCCTTGCCCTGGTTCCACACCTCCATGGTGATCAAAAGCTTCCTTCATCCCCGCATCATCGTCCGCAAATGCAAAAATGTGTTCCAATGCTGCCAGAGCTCGCGTAGCGGCGTCTTCTTCGTCGCGCGGACTAGGATCGTCATCTGCTGAAGACAGCGATTCGTGATTAGGCGGAGAACCTGTGTCATATTCGATCAGTGCGTCGACTAGTTGTCCTGCTTTCTTGTCCGCAAATACGGTAGCGCCTTCACAGTGTGACTTCTTCTGATCCCATTCAAGAAACTCTGAAAATAATGTGTCTTTCGTCAGAGAGATAGATTCAGCAAGTAGTTCAGGATGATGAACCATGGAGAGGCGCAGGATACTAGCAGCACTCTTTGCTGTTTCTCGCAAAGTTGCTTTATCCTTGAGTTTCGTGGTAGCTCTGCCTTCGAAAGGAGGTTTTTGGTCAAGACCTGAATCCGAAGAGCACTCAGCACAGTCCTCTACCTCAGAAGATGTTTGCTTCGAGTCTGCTGTTGCTACTAAAACTTCTTGCTTTATTTGTTCAATGGTATGCTGAATTTGACCAGGGTCTGCAAAAGAGTCAATGTGCTTTTTCAGTTTGTTCTGAAGTTGTTGGAGTTGCTCTTTGTTGTTTAAGTCGACGCGAACCTTACTACTTGGAGGAATTACAGGTTCCGCATTTTTCTTTTTGTTTGGAGAACCCGCAGCACTGCATGAGGCCGAAGCCACCAGTTCTCGATCGCTAAAGTCTCCATATAACTGTTGTATTTCTCCTGATCCACCACTACCTGCTCGTCCTCTGGTGTTGCTATTGCCAGCACTACTTTTACAGTTATCACCATTACGACCTCCGTTCTCTGCCATCTCCATCGCGTCTTGCCAGTCGTCTAGAATGTCTGCAAAAAAAGTCGCTCGAGTGACTCTTTTTCTCCTAGAGGAAGTAGGCTGATTGTTCGCTTTGGGCGACTTGCGTAGTCTTCTTTTCACAGCGTCTTCTCCAAGCCACGAACCAGCGAGCATCTCCAACGGCTTGCGCAACTTCACATATGGGCCTAGTTTTGCCGAGACTTCCGCACCGACTCCCGCCGCGCGGGCTCGCTCTTGCTTCTGATTATGCTCGACGACAGAACCGAAAACAGAGGAGACAACGGAGTCCACACTAGTGCGACTGAGCAGGTCTCGAAACGTCCGTGCCCCGAAGTGGAGACTGCCCGGATTCGACGACGCGGCAGCAGTCTGCAGAGACTTAGTGATTTCAACGGCCCAAATCAGATCGTCAGCTAGGTGCGCAGTCGAGTACAGACGATTACTATCTTGCTCTTCCTCCAGCTCTAGTTTATCGTTGCCTCTTTGATTTGCGTCCTCCATACCGTCAATTTCGACAAAAAAGTGATCGTGTTGTAGGAGATGTTGCGTGAAGCCCTCAGGAAGCGCAAGGACAGACTGCAACTTCTCTTCCAGCTTTTTCAGTCGCCGGTCGGGGTCCGTATCCGCCTCTTTCACACGACTTGTTTCTTCATCAGCTACTTTACCAAAGATATCAGACTCGCTCCTTACTCCGTTCGTGATCATGGTCTGTGCTGCATGATCTTTTTTCGCGACAGTCGCATCCACAGAAGAAGTGCCGCTATAATCTGCCTTTGGGTCGTCGTGCATTTGATCCTGCTGTCGTGACCCTACTACTCGATGATCCTCCTCCTCGTCCACCTCCATGGGCTGGACACCACTCCCACCTCCACCAGACCTATCTTCAAACTCCTCCAACGTCTTCGTTCTGGCCATAAGCAATCCTTGCATTCGTTCTGTGTAGTGTGCCATTTTCTTCATGATGGAAAAATCAGCCTCCGGACCAATCACTGCTTGTGCATTTTGGAGTAGCTTGATGCGATCTGAAGGGTCGTATTTCGTTGTTTCCAACAGGAGTTCTTCCCACGCACTAGGCTGAGCCGATCCTAAAAACGCCATGTTGAGACCTTGAAGTTTGAACTTGCTCTCATCATCCGACAAGATGCGCTCTGGGAGACTATTCTGCCGGACATGGGATACGACAAGGTCGTTCTGCTTTTGTCCGTGTACCTCGTTCGAAGAAGAAACTGTCGTTAGTAAAGCGCCACGACCTGGAGGTGCTGGTCCTTTTTTAGCCGCTTCTTCCCTAAGACTAGCAAATCTCTCTACAATAGCACGTTCTTCAGGAGTCAAAGTCTTCATGTCGTTGACAATGACCTCATCCTGAAGAGCTGCGAGGGGACGCTGGAGTTTCAGGGCGCCTTGTTCCTGGTGGTCCTTGTTTTTGGAATCCAAGAAGTCGTTTAGCTCATCAAATGCAGATTTTTTTGCGCCTTCTCCGAGAACACCTCCACCACTCTGTGAAGAGGACTCCTGTGAGGCAGATGCAGTTCCAGACACCATCGAAGAACCTGCTTCATCTGCCAGATACAACGGAAACACTGGCGGATGCGAAAAGAATTGTCTTCCCTCCTCATCCATTTGCCCATCTCGGATGAGCTGGTTGATCATCGGTGCAGGCAAAATCGGAATGCTATCGGCACCACCTTGTCTTTTAGACGCCAAAATGACCAAATTGTCAACCTTCTGCGCGACTGGTGCTAAGACAAAGTGACCACCATGCGATCCGTCTCCTTTGGATGAGTCATGATGATCTTTGTCGTGATTGGTAGGTTTTTTTATGTGGATACTCTTCTTGTGTTTGTAGTCAGGCAATGATGTCGATTCTCCATTATCTTTTTCGACTTGGGATGATTTTTGAGGTGCAGAAGATGGCGTCGCAGCTGATGTTCGTTCGGAGTTTGCAGCTGTTGATATAGAAGTACCCCCCCTAGCCCTATCCACTCTGAATACAGATGAAGGAGCATCAGGAGCATGAAAGCCCTCACGTCCTGACTCATCCATGTGCCCAATCGCACGCTGTCTCAAGCGGATTGCATCCATATGCGAATCCGTCTTCTCCAGCGCTTCTTTGCTGGAAGCACTCCCGTCAGCACCTGAAGAAGAGCCTGCTGCTTCCTCTTTCTTCATCTTCTGATCATGCAGGAAATTCCAAAACGGAACAGCCTTGACACCTCTATTTCCCTCTCTGCGTTCTATCAGTCCACGAAAGACGATTCGAAAAGCGACTGGTGCTATGCACTGCTCCTCCTGATTCATATCTGAGGCGACTCTTTCTTGAGTACCTCTTGCTGACGATGCCTTTCTCCCAGATGAGGGGGAACTTGATGACTTATGCTTCCACAGCCTCATTGCGTCTCGTAGTTTCTCTGCGAACTCGAAGCCTGCAGCTGGATCTTCGGTACGTCCTCCACTGGTCTTCACTCTCTCCTTTCTGTTCTGCTTCTGGTTCTTCTCCGTATCATCAACCATTAATGCCTCATACAGCTGCGCTACAACCCGAAAATGACGAGCTTTCATCAGATCAGCGAATTTCGATCTTGTTTCGGACCGCTTCTGTATAATGCGACTTGCGGCTTCAGTGCTAACAGAAGATAAAAGCATGCCGGAACCGGAGGCAAGATCAACATCAGCTAGTTCATCACCTACTACAACAGGTTCATCCGGCTTCATCCTCGTGCTATTACTAGAAGCTAGAATGTTTCTGTCAACTTTCCTGTCCTTTTGCTCTCGTCTCCTCCTTGCTTTTCGCACTCGATTTCGTGCATGGTCTGCCGCATAACGAAATTTGAACAGTGCTGTGCGATACTGTCCGTACACGTTTCCCAGCTTTTGGAATAATGTCGGATGCAGCTTGTATTCGCTTGGTATCGACGTGATGAGATGTGTGAAAATCTCAGTGCACACCATCAGCTCGGATGTTAGAGGTGAGCAGCAATAGGAGGATCATCATAAAAGTGTCGATTTCTTAAAGAAAGCAGAACGAGTACTTCTACTTACTTGGATCGTTCGGTCTACGTAACCACAAGGAGCGATGAACATCAACTACATGTTAGCATTAGATGTAGTTTAAGAAGTTGTCCGTCGAAGTCCCTGATCTTATGTTCTCGTAGAGAAAGTTCGTGTAGAGTTATCATTAGAATTAAAGAAGAGCAGCTACTGCTAGGTTTCCGTTTATTCTCCGTAACCTCCTATTCCGAGTGACCCAGGCATCGAGAGCAGCATTCATCTCGAATGAGTCGAGGAGTAGACCGTTTGTACTCGTATGCAGCACAAAGTCCGGCCTGCGTTCTTTCAATGGACACAAAGTTCGCAACGGGAGGCATGAGGCTTTTTCTAGGAGGTTGTTGGCAGAAGACGAGGATGTTGGTGTAGAAGACGAGGATGTTGGTGTAGAAGAAGTAGAAGATTTAGGATCACTTTTAACCTGGTCCTGGTCGTGAGATGCTTGTTGATGATCAACGATGTTGTAATCGTCGTCAATAACCCAAGAGTCTGTAATATCCAGGTTCTCTCGCTTAGCCTCTTGATCTGGTAGTTGTTGATGTGGTTCTTCTGTTGGAGATACGGGGGATGAGGCCTTATGCTGCTTCCGGTTTTCCTGACGATATCCCTGACCACGATGTAGCTGTTTGCGCATGAGAATCTTATCAAGAAAGCTGTCAAGCTTCTTTTCTCTGTCTGCATCATTCGAATTCGGTAACTGCTGCTCTACTACTTTTCCATTAGCGTCAACTGCTGGGTCTTCATTCTTGCCATGTTGTTCTCGCTCATGCTCTTGGTCTGTTGGGTCTTCAGCAAGTGCTTGATCTCCTTCAAAATTTTCATGTAAAATTGCGGCAGCATTTCTCTTCCCCTTTGCCGCAGCAGCGGCTCCGGCTTTGCCTTCATCCACGCCAGTGCGGTGTCCTCGCTTCTCCGTTTTCTTCTCCGGCTTACGTGCTTTTTTCCCCTCAGCCACCTTGATATAGTTCGCGATTAAGTCCTCAATTGTTGTTCCCTCTTTGTTGTGGCCCGCTTCATTCGCCATATCGTTCAGGAGTTGCGAAACCGTGAATCTCTTACCGTCCGGTGCTACTGCTAGTAGAATGTCCTCGTGTCCATCTAGTTGAAGCCCAAGTTCTTTCAGCTGTGTGGCGATTTTCGACATCTCTACGAGAGTGTCAACGCCAGCCGTGGAGGTCCCTCTCGTTGAAGAGGCTCCTTTGGAAGAAAAGCTTTTCATCTTCATATAGAATTCTTCGCCATCAGCAGTTTGTTTTACAACGTAGTTGTCATCTTCTTGTTTCTGGCTCTGACTTGTCTGACTCTTCTGCGTATTCCTCTTCTTCTTTGAATTGCCTTTGCCATTGTCTTTTTCTTTTGCAGTCTTCTTCTTATTAGAGGTAGGTTTTTGGTGTTCGTTTATCCCGCTTGTTATGGCTGTCCCCCTGCTTAGGAGAGCCATAACAAACGGTAACAAAAGCACCTTTAACTACCTACCCTTAATCTTCTTACTAGTTGTCACAGTTGAAGTAGTTGGCTTTTCATCACCTCCATTACCATCCTCGACCATTCCATTCGCCAACATCAAATCGCGATCCTTCGATAGACGCCACTTCGCCTCTAAATCAGGTCGCCACGTGATGTCCCAGTTCTGGTCCGTCACCAAATCTCGTTGAAATCGATCGGCATCACCCAGCTCTACGGTACGAATGCGCGGACGCTCACCTAAGAACGCAGCCGAAAAGTAGTCCAACAGCCTTTGCACTCGAGCTGTTGCATAGGGATACTGGATTTCGAAGTCTGTCACAGTGTCATCTCCGTTCTTGTTCATTCTGTCAGCGAAATACTGCTCCCATTCTCCACGAAGTTTCAAGCGATAAGGGTCTTTGCCATCTGAAGTCCAGAAGACCTCTGTCAATCGTCTGGGAAACCACTTGGTCCGAAGGATGTAGATGCGATTTCGACCATAGTCCGGGAGAAGGAAAATTCGACTGTCGTCTTGGTCCCCCTTAGAAGTGGGGCACGACAACTATATGTTCTAACGTTGACACATGAAAGAAAAAAGTGCACTCACACTCAAAAAAAGTGGCTATTTTCCTACTTAAATCCTAGCCAATTTCTTGAGTGTGAGTGCACTTTTTCGTTTCATATGACACGTAGATGTAGTTGTAGTTGTAAGTAAGTAGAAGGACAGACATGGCGGGTTCATATTTGATGACAATGGAACAGTTGTAATTTCTAGCGATTGCGAGGATCATGGAGATTGCTCGTAGTCGTACTAGACGAGAAAATACAGTGAATAGCATCGAGACAGCAGCAGTTCATAACGCTACTCATCGCGCCATTTCCTGTGTTCAAATATCGCTGCCCATTGGGTCGTGAACCGGGTTGAATCCCGTATGCGGCCGTCTCTTGAGGTGCATGCTGAGAAGTCGACTTCCCACTCCCCTTTTTGTTTTTCAGACCACCTCGTCCTCCCGCGAATATTCCTGCTATTCTCTTCCTCAGCAGTACGATTTCTTCGTTAGAATCACCAACGTCTCGACTAGCACTAGAGCCTGACACTGACTTCTTCCCGTCACCACGTGCCTCGACTAATAATAGGTTCAAACTTCCAGCCATTTTGTACCGGTGCGGCGTTCCTCTTAGCTCTGGCGCAGCAGCTCTGCGCTCATCTTTAGAGGTAGTTGCGACGTTGCAGCATCCTTCAGAAGATCATCCCTGACCCTTTTCCTACTGGAAAACAAGCCAAGAACGAGGATGGTAGTGAAGAATGCAAAAATGGGGTGACCCTTAACATCTGCGACGATGTTGGTGATAAATTCTGTATCGTCCTCCTCCAACTCCACAACTTGACTCGGATCCGACGCCGTCACTCTCGCAAGAGAACGGCTTTTCTTCTGCGATTCTCCAGGTCTGACGGGATTCATGTCGAAGACATCAATCTGGTCCATCACGTCGCTTGCTAAAAAGATGGTAACCTTTGGCTTATAATGTTGTTTTGGCCTTATTGTATTTGCCTTCTTATTTCTTGTGTTTTTCTTTGTCGAGGAAGATGTAGTTGCCTCCTCGTTGTTCTCCAGCATCTTCCGCAAAATGCCATCGAAGTTTTGGACTGGATCGTAATCTGGTGGGACCAGAAGGGCCTCCTCCAACTCATAGGACCGCCATTCGACACGACCGTCTTGCGTGAAACGAAAAGCGTCGAAGCCAACTGCGCGAACAAGGTCACCACCTAAAAATGTCTGTCCGCTAGTCAGAATAGGAACAGCAGCAGCCACATTTGGAGGCACGGTCTTCCAAGTTGAACCAACCTCAGTGAACTTGCGGCGGAAAAGCGCTAAATCATGCAAGGCGCGACCCATCTTCGCAGCTGGAGGACCAGGCGTGGGAGGTGATGTAGCATTTGCGGTATTCCTAGTGCGTCCTTGTCCTTTTCCAGATGATGAAGCTGCTAAAGGCGTCGCTAACGGAGTAGTTCCTGCTGAACTGCTTTGACCTTGATGAACACTATTCGTGTCCGAGGACTTCACGTAGGTCCCGCCAGTAGCGGTTGTAGACTCTAACTGCACATCATGGGCTCCACCTGCTCCGGTAGCGATTGTATTCTGCGATTTCACGACATGGACATTCCCCCCTACGCCTACCTCATCATGTTCTTGTCTTGCCGTTGCCCCACCTACCTCCTCGTGCTCGTCATCTTGCCTTGCCCATTTTTCTACCTTCATTAGTTGCGCTGCTGCATTCCAATCTATCTCATTGACCCATGGCATCTGCACCATCAATGACGCGTTACCTTCAGATCGAACAGAAAGGGAGAAGTAGAGCGCACCAGGTTCCGAGGATGAAGATCCTGATATGGGTTCTGTACCACCAGTATAACTTCCAGTTTCAGGAGTACCAACGTAATTCCCTGTAGTCGCAGGCGTCGCGCCCAAATGTGACCCCTGGCTTGCCGCTCGCACCGTCGCTGCATCCGGTGGAAGGTCAGGTGCTGTCCCAAAGAGTCCACCCTCGTATAGGTCACAGACATCGCGTGTTACTAGTCTTGCCACTAGCTCAGGTGCAAACTCTACAGGCACACAACCCCGCTCCACGTTGGTGATGTCGTAAATCTTGACACGCCGATGCAAGGGTTGGAAATACGGACTAGGGGTGGTTCTTTTCTTCTCGTGCTGATCGTCCTCCTGGTCTTCCTCGAGTCGCATTTCTTCCTCAACCAGTGCTAGAATCGTCAAAAGATCTGCGTGCGAATCGATGCCAAATACCGTGCCGATAGAACCATAGGATGCTCTGAGTAGATCTGCAGCTGCATGCCACCTGCTCGGTTGTGTAGTGCTTGCTCTAGTGCGTGGTAGTTGTACTTGATGAGGCTGTGATGTCTGTCGCTTTCCCCTTCCAGAAGCTGTACGACCTCTCATTTTCATATGACCAATGAGCTGACCACGACTGGCGAGCTTTTTTCGCTGCTTTCTAGCCAATTGAAATAGTCGTTTGTACTTCTCCTGTGCTCTTCGTGTGCTTTCTTCTACACCGGCTTCATCTTCCATGGCTCTAACCAGATCCAAGATCGCAGACTCAAGTTTGTCGTTTGACAACGCTATGGTATGCAGCAACAGCTTCAGCAATCGTCTTTCGTTCACAGTCCGATCTTCCCAAGGAACGTCCCTGAGTATTTCCTCTGTCTCTGACGGCTTCACGTCCTGATCAGTTGGCAGACTCATCGACGGCGGCATCATCTTACTGTAAAAGTGAGCGACTTCTTGATCTTTTGCATCTCCCGAAGAGGAGGCGGATTCGGTACGAGCAGCACTACGATCATCAACTACTCGTGTCGTTCTTGTTCGAAGATCATCTGATGTGCCAAGTTGATGTCTCTGCCTAGTCCTTTGTGAAGAAGGCATCTCCAAGGGGTCCTCATTCCCAAATTCGTCTAGCAGAATCAAATACAACGACGATCCTCGTCCATTTCCTCCAGTTCCCTCAAAGTCCCTCACTAAACGTCCAATTTGATCGTTTCCTAAATGATTCGGGACCCACACACCGCACATTTCTTGCTCCGTGTCCCAGAAGTCCGACAGCATACACTGCCAATACTTTCTCTCAGGGCAATCGGTTCTGTCGCAGTCGTTTGTAGCCACCAAGGCGACGCCGACGAAGGAGACTGCTGCTGAAAGCCAAAGTATCAAAACGTGGGGGTTCAGAAGTCGTTGACACGTAGGACTGGACGCCAATCTTCTTTCTAGCGTGTGGAGAAAGCGGTTTTCAAGACGTTCCAGGCGGTCTTGAAAACGCTTCACTCTGCGTTTACAGTGCTTGTTGTTGCGGCAGCACGACGTAGAGCCTGAGGCAGCTGCTCCGGCAAAGTGACGCATACGTTGTAGGAGTGAAGAGGACCACAGATTTCTTCCCATACTCAGAACGGAGGATGAGAGGGTTCGTCCCGCCCTTGATGTTCCTTTCGAAGGTGAACCTGTTGTCTCTGCATTTCGAACACTGCAAGGTGAACCACTTGAAGCCGCACTTGGTGTTGCTTTGTGTTAGAAGATCGAGTTACAACATGATCGATTTTTGAGGACATAATTCGGGAAAACGGTCATCCCACATCTAACAAAACGAGCACATCTAAGAAAACGAGTTGAGTGCCTTAATGATTGTCTCCAGAAGCTGCACGTCGAGCAGCCCGCTTGTTGGCCTTGGATTGTTTGCTTCCTGATCCTGAACCAGAAGACTGCATCTGCGTGTTCGATGGTACGGATACTCCAGAAGACATGCTATCTGTCGAAAGAGACAGCAGCGATGAGTAGCTACTAGCAGCTAGCTCACGAGAAGATGGGCTAGAGCCTATGCCTTGTTGTGATGCTTTCTGTTGCGTGAGATGAGTAGGTCGATTTGGCGATGGCGTTTGCGTTCCAGGAGATCCACAACTATCACCTCTTCCCTCAACATCAGCGCTTTTAGCAACGCCTCCTTTCTTCACCGAAGTAGATGTAGCTCTTCTTTCTGCCCATGACGTCCTCACCTTCCCGACTCCTTCCCTTAGAGCTACCGCGCTCGCATCCCCGAGAACCTCCCTGGTCCCTTTTTCTCCTTGAAAAATGGGCCAAGGATGATGTTGAGGATGGTCCAGCGGTAGCCATAATTCCCGTAGCCTTTCCCCAACTGTCCCAGCTGCACTGTGAAGAAACCTCTTTGCGCGAGCACTCATGGCGTTCTCTGCTGCCGCACGTGCCAGCAGCTCATCATCCGTCATTGTAAGGTCCTCACTAGTTCTTGCAGCAACTCCACCAGAAGACGGTGTTGAAACTAATGACGAGTACGACACGGACGGGCTGTCGCGCTCATGGATAGTGAATTGCTCGGCTCGCGAGGAGATGCTAGCTTGATGTGCTTGATGTAGAGTGGGTCGTGGCGCAGTAGACACTGCAGATGAAGATGCAGTGGGTGTAGTACCGCTACCGTGTTGTGGAAGAGTACTCGATCCACTAGCTCCTGTTCTGGCAGTTGTACATGCGACAGGCGTCGGCGGTCGAATGTCTCGTGAGTTCCGTTTTCGACTCAATGAGGCTGTCTCAGACGACACACTAGCAGCCTGCAAAAGTTTAGGTCGCGGGCGGCGCGAACCACGCTTACTCTTAGAAGAAGCTAGGGCTCCTCCACCAGCCAAAGAGGTACTAGACGACTCTTCCGATGATTTCAAGGTGGAAGTGCAGGACTCATTCTCACTCTCACCTGGAGGCCTCAGTGTACTAGTACTAGAGTATTCGGAACGAGCTGAGCGCGCATCCGCGTAGTAGGGAGTTGCGAGATCTGACGTACCGCTGTAACTTTGGAAGCTTTGGCCTGGAGACTCGAGACCAGGCACTGTCTTAGACATCGCACTTGACAGCGAAGACTTCGACGACAGTGTGTCTCCTGCTTCGTCTCCTGCTTCGTCATGTTGTAGCAGTTGGTGTGCACTGGAGAACTCCACCTCATCTTGGCTACTTTCGGCGTCCTCTTTTTCTTCACGGTCCTCACGTCTCTCTGGGGAACTTCTCGAACTACAAGCTCCTGCGCCACTGCCACTTCTAGCTGTACTTCTGGCGTTCGTAGTTTTCCTCCCACCTCCAACTCCTCCACGTGAAAAGGCCAGAAGAGCAGGTCCGCCACAATCGTCCTCCTCGTCAAGATCTGCCCATCCGACAGACTTCTTGAGACTGCTTTTCGAAAAAACCAGAGATTGAGATGCTGTGCTTTTGTCCACAACGCGTGATCCTCCAGCTTCCTGTTCATCTCGTCCGGCTTCCTCTTCGTCATCACTTTCGACGTGGTCCATCGCAAATGCACGAGTGCTTACTAGCGAAGGCCTTTTTGATGATGTATCACTGCTTCCGAGGAACGGATAAGAGGTAGAGGATTGCATAGCGTATGTATGACTGCTTCCGAGGAACGGATAAGAGGATTGCATAGCGTATGTATGACTACTTCCGAGGAACGGATAAGAGGATTGCATAGCGTTTTTAGAGGCTGTTCGAAGTCTCTCCGTCACCGAGTCATCTGAGTCCTCGTCCGAAGGAGCGTCTTCGGAATCGGAGCCGGAAGAACAAGATCCAAATTCGATAGCTTCTGGAACCTCCGTTTGAGAGTGCTGGCGTTCTTTAGAAGCAGTGACAGCTGTAGTTTCGACGTGGTCTTCAGCTGCAGGAGGAACTGGATCAGGTTCCTCTCCGCGTTTTTCAACCGTCGGTCTTTCCTTCATCTTCTCTTCTGCAGGGACAGCTTCGCCTTCTTTCTCCGCGAGAGAAGGATGCTCTTGCTCACTTCGTTCTACAGATGATGTGCCACCTGCTACCTCAGTCTCTACTTGTATACTTTCCGAGACGGGACTGGGAGGACGAGCTCCAGTCGGTGACGTTTCTAGTACTTGTCCTGCTTTCGCCGATATCGATCCCGATGCAGGCGCAGACGAGCCACCTGATGGCTCTCCACAACTCCCAGTGTGCTCTTCAGATTGCTCAGGAGCAACCTCTGGCAGCCGTGAATTAATATCTGTACCAGGGAAAAAGTCTACAACGTGATCCTCTTCACTGTCAGAAGATCCTCCTAGACTTTGATCGGCCCAACTTTTACGGCCTTGCCGTGTCGGTTTTGGCTTTGGATTCGGTTTTGGCTTTGCAGTGATGGCTAGGTTCCGCATTTCCTCCTCGACTTCCTCTATGCTAGCCACGATTTCCTTCACACGAGTACCTCCAGAAGTCGCGGTGTCGTTCTTAGTCGTTGTATGCCGCGGAGAGGTTGTCCCCTCGTCGTCGAAGTCGATTAGTGCAGAGGGGCTTGAGGATGACGCGAGATCAGAAGTCGTAGTTGCCACTCCGCGTGACCCTCCAGCTTCCCGTTGGGGTGCATGCCCCGTCGATCCTGAGGTCTCCCATTTTGAGCCCTGTGGTTCTTTTCTTCGGCGGCCTCCGCGCTTTCCAGTTGTGCCCCCTCTGGAGCTGGAGGTGGATGAGAAGGAGTGCCCGACACCACCTCCAGATGAAAGAGCCCTACCTGAACTTAGCTCACCGCCAATAGCTCCAGCATTCGGGTTCTTTGAGCCTGAGCTGCACCTTCTTGAAGATATTGAGCCACTTGAAGAGGTTGAGATTCCCAGTTGTTCCTTTATAACGGAAGTTGCCTCACGGTTGACGTTAGACAACGACAAGGACGAAGACGCTAGACTGCTTGTAGAAGCATTCAGTTCCTGCTGATTCGAAGATCGCTTTTTCCTTCTACCTCCCGATCCGGCAAACGCGTCTGAGCCAACTTTAGGCTTGAAACCACGCAGAGCGTGGACGGGGGAACAGAGTGTGCTTGCCCAGAAAAGGATAGCTGCCAAATGAATTGATGTAATGGAGGAAAAGCCAACGTGGTGATGTTTTCGCAACATTTTGTTCGTGCTATGTGACTTTGGTCAACAGGTAGATAAAAAGTCATGTTCAGGTGTTTTAGCAATCGTCATTATGTGGCACTCCTAAGGTGCTTTTTTAGCTAGTGGTCCAGGTCCAGGTCTAGTGGCCAGGTCCAGGTCCCGGTCCCTTGTTGTCAGGAAACGATCACTACAACATCAAGCCTGGTGTCCACACGTTCTCTTTTCGCTCACTAGAATTGACCCAGATGATCACGCTCATGTCGAAGTCAATCCAGCCTCTATTAAATCCATGCTCGTCATCGTCTGTTCTTCATCTCTATCTTTCACTCTGCCAAGTATTGCTTTCATCTCTCGATCAGAGCAATTATCGCGTCACAGGACACGACAAAAAGATGACATCGTAGGTCCAAATTCACGATCGAGAAGCCAACGCCCGCTAACGCGTACCCTCTTGTACGCCAGCGCGATGTATCGTGGAGGTGCTGACAACAACTACCATTTTTAACTTGATAGATCATGATTCATGTTGTCAATGAAATACAAGAAGCTCTGCGATCATCTTTTGATCCCCACTGCTAATATCCAAGTAGATGTATGGTACTCGGACCACGTAGCGTAACACTTTTTTAAGCCAAAAAATCGGAATAAATATTTAGGATTGAAGATGAACATTTGGTTTTGGAAGTTGTATGTTATCAGGGACCATTATGGCATTGGCACGATAGTTGTATCATATTTGCTCTCACTGTGCACGTGCAATATGGTGGTGCTGTATGTATGAGTAAGCTATAGAAATTGATTGTAATGGCAGATTTCTTTCCTATTGGCTGGTCTGTATTGATATTTGTAATTCTTGTAGAGGAAGATGTCTCCATTCATCACGTTTTAATTTTCTGTGTTGACGTAACGTTAACGAGTAGATATGACAGTCACAGTTTCCACTTCTATCGGAAACATACAGCAGATACTTGCATGGACACCGATCACCTAGGCACGGCTATATGAGGCACACTTTGTGACCTACCACTAGCACGGCTTCTAGCACTGCTACGCGCGCTAGCACCTACAGCACTACTCCTTGCCGTCAGGATTTGGACTTGTTGTCCTGCTGTCCTACCTCGGTTTGAACTCGATGTTGACCGTGCACTAGCGCTAGCAGTTGGCGGCAAGTAGAGATGGGGAGCTCCGCCGTCCGCATGCCTGAAGAAAGGAGAACAAAACCTGGAAATGTGGATGCCTGTCTGTCGAAACGAAGAAAGGAGGAGAGGGAGACTGACTAAATCAATTTCAATGTTGGATTTTTGATGTTCTAAAAGTGAATTAGAATTAGTCGTTTCCACCACAGGCAAATACGAGCATAAAGATTGATCTGCTAATCAGACCTAAAGTGTGATTTAGCAGTAGTACAGATCCGCAGCACTGGCGCTGGATCCCTGCATGCCTTTCTGTTGCTTGTAGGGATTTATCCTATTTACCCTTGACATCTTCACAAGCTCTGTTGGTTGCCCCGCTGCTTGGTAGTATCTGGCATGCGTTGTGTGTGATGTAGTTGGATGTATGTAAATTCATGATGCAAAAACGTCCAGTTCTTTTTGTTGAAGTACAAGCAAGAATACATTGTTGTCGGTAGAAACGATGTGTTTTATGACTGAGTTGAAATTACATCAAGACGAAGGTTGATGACGTTAAGAAAGAGCAACACCAGCAAACAAGTACACCAGCAAACAAGTTGAAGTAAGAAAAAGTAGTACTTGTTTTTTATCCACGCCAACGTCCCTTTATAGAAGTCTTTGACGCCGACTTCTCTACCCTCTATGCTTTGGAAGTCTTCGAGTTTTGTGTTCAAATTGTGGTAGAAATGGTCCCTAGTCTCTTGGTGGATTACCTCATTCCATATCATATTGCGCGTTGCCGGACCGTTCATCCGACTGTAATAGTCGAACGTCGCCATCTTGTTGAAGGAGGGTGGTGAGGGATACCCCTCGATTCGATAGCTAGATGGAGTCTGATACTGATTCTTCTAAACCTCTAAACCATAGATGTTTTTCTTTGCATATGAAATCGCACAGATCAACGAGATTAAAAAAGGGGGGCTTGAGGTGGCGGATGGAAATGGGAGAAAGGCGGGTAATTGTCCTCGGGGGCATGGAGGTACAGAAGAGACTGGATCATGCTGGTTTTGCGCGTCCAGCAGTGCATTTAATCAAATTTTCCATGAACCGACAAGGCCGACGGATCCTAATCCGTCAGTCTGACCGATCAGAAAGATGGCACTACAGCTCATCAACCGACTGCTTCATGCACTACCGATCTTGGCACACGGGGTTTGTGATTGTGTTTGCTAATTTATTACACGTAATGCTTTCGGGGGAAGCCACTGTTTGCTAATTACACGTAATGCTTTCGGGGGAAGCCACTGCGTCGAGGAGGGTCAGGGTGACAGGTTGTTCACTTTTTTTGTTAGGGGAGAACGAGAAAGCACGATGCGTATGCGGTGATCTATGCTGGCCAACTTTACCTTTTTTACGTAGAAATCTTCAAAGATGAGCAAGAAAATGCACATAGAGGTACAAGAGGATGATCTCTGATCATGAGAAGCTAGTGAGTGAACGGATGAACCATGGAAGCTAGATGAATCGAATGGGTACATCATTTTTCGAGTGTATGTAGAGTGGTAACCCATTAAGTAGATGGATGTAGACGAGTAACAAATGGATGGACTACTTTTGTCTTTGTGATGAACAAGTGAGAGTAACTTTTTTGATGAAGTGTATTATACGTGAAATTGTGATTGAACTTTTTGTATTCTGATGAACAAGTGATGAACGTGAAAATGTTATCGCACACTGGCTGTTAGCGTTACAACTAGAACTACCTAGGAGTACTGGTTGTGTGTGATAGTGTCAGTGAAGATGAACAAGTGATGACCATGCAATGGTATGAAAATTTAGAATTTCGATTTCCCTTTCCTGCGAGGCTCTTGGCGAAGGTTCCACCTATCCGGCATCCGCAACCCCTCCCTTTCCATGCCCTAAACATCCAAATCAATACTGACACCAAGGATACCACTGACAACAGGCGCATTGTCGATGATCGCCTGCTGTTTCTTCCGCTCTGCCAGCGGATAGTACCACCTGTTCGCTGGTATGACCATATCCCACTTAGGTCTGTCTTCAAGCGCGACTTTTGGACGGGGTCTGTGTTGAGACTGTCTGTGTTGAGACTGTCTGTGTTGAGATGAAGAAGGACATTAAAGTCTTATCAGAATGATCTTCCTGTAACTACTAGTAGATACTTTCTAATCAATAATTACATTTTTTACATTTTTTACAGTGCGTAAAGATAAACGTAGTACGCTTATAGAAAAATGAACAGAACTCCGTACAGTTGGTTCATCTACTTCTGTAAATTCGAGGGAGATCACAAGCGTAAGCAAAATCAAACAATATTTACTTAGTCTTCGCCAAGTCGTGCTTTCGCTTTCTAACGGCACTGTAATCCTCGACTTGAAACCGCACACCCCGAGGGCTGCTATGCTCGCTGAAGCTTTTTGGTAGTTTACCTGATGTAATTCCGTTAGCAGGGGCAGTAGTAAAGCTACAACAACTCATCACGAAGTTCAACCCTAATTTAGGAATGATTTCGTCTACCTCGACCTCAAATGATCAACGAACTTTTTGCAGTCATCATCAGCTTATCAACAGGTAGTGCCTGTGGTCTTGAGTTTCTTGAGCTTGGTGTCTTGTGGTGTCTTCCCATCTTCTCCCGCTTTAACACCCCTGGTCTTCGTTTTGTTGTCCCCATCTGCACCCAAAGAAACTCCAAAACCCGAATGCGAATTTGCAGTTGAAGCTGCTAAGCTTAGACGAAACGTGGTTACTTCTACATTCATCGATTCATCCTGCCCTAGCATGCCTCAGGCAGTCACTCGGTCCTTAACAACTTGCACGAAAAAGAATCCATAATATCCAATTACTTCTAACAACGAAACTGACAATGTCAAAGAAAAACTCTTCATCATAAAAGACTTCCCGACGTTTTTCCGCGTACACCTCTCCCAAAGTCCGTTTTCGCCTGCACGTCTTCAGGAGGTTTGTAACTCCATTCCTCCCGTTCGAATTTCACACTCATTTTCGACATGTGCCGTTCGATCTTGCCTCGTTGATAGGCCTTCTCTTCCTGGTCTAGACGTCTACGCTCCTTTTGCGGCATTGAGGATTAGACAAGGGGTTGTCTGGTTGCTGTTTGTAATACCTTGCGATTTACCAGCACGCAGGTCGTAGCATCGACGTCCAGAACTTCATCTTCAAACTACTTAGAAAAACGCAACCATCATCATCAACATCAACCGATTGGTGTTTTCAATTTCCTCACGACAAGTGCTTCATCTTTCTTCATAATTGAAATACTAGTACAAGTACTCAAGAACATCTCATAATTGAAATCCTTTTGCAGCCTTTCCCTTCTAAGTTCGGATTCTTTTTCTAGTCTCTCTTCTTCCTCCCGTTCTCTTTGTCGGGCTTCTGCTACTTCCCTTTCACGCTGCTCCCGCTTCCGTTCTTCGTAACGTAAGAGACCCACCTGTTCTTTCCTATAATTCGCAGCTCGTTCTTTCGACCCGTTCTTTCGCGTCACCGGTTCTTGAACGTCCTCGTCAGGATTTGTCGGCTCTGTTCCACCTGTAGTTGCAGCAGTACCACTTGGATTCTCAGGCGAAGCACCTCCAGCTATAATTGGTTCACCATCAGGACCTATTTTACTTTCTCCTTCACGCAGCTCCATTGACGTGTTGCTTTTATTCATCAGGTAATTTGCTGTCGTCACCGCGCTCATGATGAGTGCCTTCTTCTTCTTGATTCTGTCTCCTTCTTGTGCTAGCCTGGACTTGCTGAAGACGCTACTGCCTGATGTGCTGCCCAAGTTCGACGCGGCGGCATGTAGTTGTTGACCTCCAGTAATATTGTTCTCTAAACAAGCTCCAAATTGGAGGTTTTCTTTGTGGTCGCTGATATTTTTAGAAGAGACGTTGATCTTGAATGAAATAAGTACTTTGAAATTATACTCTGGATGTCGTACTAGTTGTAGAGCACTTGTTCTTGAGGTAGGTTTTTACGACGTCAGAAGATACACAAGAATGAATGCCAACATGGTCAGATCGTATAAGTACTACTATTACTACTACTATTACTACTACTATTACTACTACTATTACTACTACTATTACTACTACTATTACTACTACTATTACTACTACTATTATTTTGTGTTCCACCTCCATAACTCTCCTCTGCGTACTTCCTCCCTGTCCTGGCTGCGTGCCGTGAAGTAGATTTGGTCGTTCTTCGCGCAGAACGACGCCATCCAAAGGCTCGTCGAAGCCAGTTTCTACGTCTCGATGCCTTCGGAAATAGGACCTCTGATTCGGATGCATACCTTGGTTCTTGAAGATCGCAGTATGCCGTTTATTCCATGAGAATTCACGGTCTACTAGTTCGGCTGGTATAGGCGTCACTGGCTTTGTTAACCTTTGATGCGTTTATTTGGCGGAGGATGAATGATGGACCACATGGATGAAGAAGTAGTAGGTAAGGATAGAAAAAGATGATGGGAGAAAATGTCCTGCGTAGTACACGTAGGCGATTCTTCTTCTACTAAACTACGTCAGTCTGTATCTGGACAAGAAAAGAACTGATTCAGTTCAGTAGTACCTCCAGTCACCCTGCAAACTAAAATCTGCATTTCCTGTTGCTAAGACTACTTTCGGTCCTGTGTAGTCTTTATCCGGTAGCCTTTCTCTATCGAAGAAGTTTCTCATTCCTATTGGGAGGTTTTCGTTCTGTAAAACTCCCATATACTTGAATAATGGCCCGTTGGGTCCGCCTACCATCTTCGTTTTCCTCTTGTACCAGTACCGCTTTTTGAGTTTCTTGAAGTCATACTGCAAAGCAGGTGTCCGTATTCCTTGCGCGGTGAAGTACAGCTTACCCCGGTCGGCCAGCCACGGAAACTGGGATGGAGTAGGCTGGTTAGCGAAGGACATCTTTGCCGCTCTATCCTGTGCACTTGTTGTCCCTGGGTGAAGTTGCTGTGGCGGTAGGTAGCCTATGAGCTTCTTGCAGGACCAGGAGAGTAGTCTCTCGTGCTAGGATTATTGATGTTGGTCCTTCCACACGAGCTCCAACTGTTGGCCACTCCTCCTGACGGCGTCCAAGTGGGACTAGTAGTTGTCGCAGCGGGAGTAGTTGTTTTCCTTCTTGAGCTCGAAGACGAGTGCGATGTACTGTAGTCTTTCTACGACTACGTGTTTTTGGTAAGCCGATCCCGATTCTCTACAAAACCACCTGATTGTACTTTTTGCTACGTTGTATTTTTATCAACATCTAGTTTGGCATGAAGAGCAAAAGCGAGTTGAGATGGAAATGCGCGATAGCTAATCTTACTCAAATCTGGAGGGGCGGGTCTCTTCATGTTACTTCTCAAACTTAGAGGAGCAGAAGCAGACGACCGAGAAAAGAGTCTCAAAAACTACAGAACTTCTGCTGTTCCACGGATGTCACCGCTGGACCGAAACCGGTATACCTGTAAACGGTGGATATCCGAGTAATGTCAACCGAAGAATGTAACCGATAAAGGACGACATGGCGAGCCAAGAGCAATTTATTACTGAATTCTTTTGTAGCAGGAACGCGTATCAATTGAGAGTCCGCTGTGTGGCTTCAGGTTCAGATACTGTACATATCGATTTCCAATGTGGCTAAACTCAGACTCGGACTTCTACTTCTTATCCTTCTTCTCGGAATAGGATGCATAGCTTAGATCAACTAGAACAACTCCTAGTTGTACTACATCATCTTCATCTCGATGCACCTTCATCCAGACTCAATCATAGTCTGTCTCCCAGGACGTCGGAAGAGACCGCAACAAGTCATATTTCGCTGGGCCATCCTCTCAATTTTTTGCTCCATCAGATTAACTCGGCGACGATGTTCGCCTTCGACATTACGTCGGAGGAATTGATCGGCTACCTAAGGAGGAAGATCGTGATCGGTCGTCGTTTCTTATAAGAAATTCGAGAATACAGTGCAACTTCGTTGAGCGGAGTGGTAGGTCTCCTTCTCGTTCACGACTCGTGAATGATGTTGTCTAACAGAGTCAGAGACTATTCAGAGAGTGATTATTACTGCTCTAATATCATAATTGAAGGAAAAGGAAAATAACAAGTTCTGTGTGTTTTTACCTGTTTCCAGGCAGAGAAAACTTTCTTGTCGCCGCCGAATCGAATCTCCACGGTTACGACTGTTGGATACAAACTCCCTTTCAATGTTTTCCCCACCTCCATCCAACCTCCAAATGCGTGGCCTGCTACGAGGTTCGCAGGATACCTCAAACACCCACACCCTATTGCAGCATATCCAATTTTCAAGTGCTTTGGGGCTCCCCTTGATATCTCTTCACTCGGGTAGACGATGGAGGTCGTGGGGGTCGTGGCGTTTTGGTCGAGGTTTCTATTAGAGGGAAGCATGCAATATCACAGGTTGTCAGAAGGAAGGAGTGACTCGAGCCTTGCAGGTGCAGATACAGGTTTATGAGTCAAAAAGAAACTACTCCATCGATGTCCTCCGACTTTATCGAATTATTGCAAAGCAAGGTATATGTAGTCAACACAAATAGGTTGTAGTCATGTCATGGTGCTTCTTGTATAGCGTTGCGCATCTGTGTATGAGGCCACTCAGTGCGAGTGCCTCAAGCTCAACATGATAAAATCAAATGCCATCATAATCATCACATCCGCATCCGACTGCTGGTACAATGCGAACCAAAGAGTATCACGAAATGCCGCTCTGAGTCGTTCTTCTGCTTCCGCTTCGGTGGGCACTGTTTCTTCAAGCATTAAAGCTTGGGTAGATTCATCTTGATGCAAGTCATCTCTGACTCTGACAGTCCTTGTTCTTATTGTTTCCCGCCCGTAGAAAATAATACAAGGCGAGTCCTCAGAGGTACTCCTCTTGCCCGAAACTGGAGCTGCTTCGAAACTGGAATCCGCGGGAGTACATCTATTATCTTCTAGCTACTCTACCATCATTAGTATAATTCCTGAGAACAACTAGAACTACTTCTGCTAAGTAGTTCACCTACTAAAAAGTTTTTTGCTCCTCAGAGGTGCTCCTTTTCAAGATGACCTATAGTAGAGTCAGGAATTTTTTGGCCCGTCACGGGTCGAGTTTCTCGGGTTGCTCGGGTTGCTCGAGTTGCTCGCCGTAATTTTTTGCGCGGCGCCCTTCGGGCGCAGCTTTGTGAGACTCTGGGATACCTTAGCAGGAGCGTATGACACTCCACGACATGCCTCCGATCCCTGGTTTTCTTCTTAATGCGCACCAGCGACGAGAGTGAGGGAGCGACCGCCCTCAGCTCGGGAACCCCTCCCAGCCACTTGATCAAACACGCAAGGCATCCGCCACGCACTCTTCTCTACTTGCTTCCTCGGCTGAGTGAGCCGTTCTCCAAAGCAGGCGGGAACTCACTCCCAGTCCCAAAAGAGTGAGAGACTCACTGGCCACGAACACGTCCGAAGAAAAAAGGGAGAGATTGGCACCGACCCAACGACAAGCCACCGCGACACCCTCACCCCTCAAACAAAAACAACAACGAGGCGAAGCCGTCGGCCCCTTAGTGCCTGGCTGTGCTTCGAACGCGCGCCCACGCGCTACGTACAAGAAAAAAAGCCGGAAGGACTCGCTGGGGAGCCCTTCACAACCGGCCGCCCCTCTCATGAGAGAGCAACAACAAAAGCAGCGACTTCTTCACTCCGCGCAGCCACAACCGTGCCCATACCGCCCTGCTGCGCCGCATTCCGGTGAAGCGGATGGCTTCCGGTAACTCGTGGCAACTCGTTCAAGAATTGAAGCCCTTCGCTTCGGCAACTCGAGCAACTCGTTGCAACTCGAGTAACTCGAAACCCGATATTTTACTTACTCTACTATAGATACATAGCAAGCCTTAAGAGGAGTCTCTTGTCCTCTTCAGCCAAAGCAACAGCTTCACGTTCTTTCGATCTCATGCGTTTGAGCTCCGCAGCCTCTTCAGGATCTGTCGGAGGTGCCTTGCGGTGCTTCAGTATCTTCTTCGTCGCTTCGAGGGACTTCCCGGTGTCCCTACGATACACGCGAGTCAATTTTTCTTCCTCGGACAGAGATTCGGACAGGGAGTTAGAGGAGACGAGGAGTGAGAAGAATGTCTAGGTCTAGGTACATCCTACTTCTGAAGACTTGTGATATTTCTAAAGAACAAGAAGTCTAAGTTTTAAGTTTTTATGCATGGTAATCTATAATTTGGCTTCGCGCTTGTGGATGTTGTATCAGTTTCGACAGTTGTGAAGTTAAAAGTTTCAGTTTGAGACTGCTATCGATATGAGTGAGACCGAAGAAGACCAAAATCATATATTCTCATCTCTCGCACAAATTGAAAACACTTTAACTACTAACCCCGTAGTGCATGAAGTCTAGATGTAGTCCAACAACTGGTTCTTCAGTTCGCATCTGTGTGCACCGCAATGCCTGCTGTTTTTTTGTTGGGACTTGTGGGAGAAAAAGCAATGTTGTCGCAATTTCTTTCCATAAGGTCACTATCAATATCAAAGTCCATCTCGTCGTCACTGTCCACACAGCGGACCCCCGTACTCTTCACTGGATATTTCGGCACGCAGACGCAGAACAGTTTGTGAATGCCGCTAAGTTGTGGAACTTTAGCTGCTATGTGATTCAACTCCAGAACTTCAATTAGAGGTAGGTTCTTGGTGTTCGTGGGTTCTCCCGCTTGTTATGGCTGTCAACAGCACCTAAGCAGGGAGAGAGCCATGTCATGTCATGTGCCCTCCTTATCCATATGGTCTAATGGATTTGAGATAGCCATAACAAACTACAGTATGAACAAAAGCACCTTTAACGAACCTACCCTTAATTCAAAAGGCGCAAGTCGATGCGCCCACTCCGGATCATCCGTGTAGTCGGTGACAAGAGACGAGCCTGTAGCTTGTGGTCGGTCTGCGCCTACTTCCTCAGGCAGAAAAACCGCATCCCCAGCTCCGCTAATCAGCTGTTCTTCATCTGGGTCAACGACTCGCCCTGCCGCACGTGCGTGCTGCTTCGATTTCTGGTTGGACGAGATGGTTCGGCTCTTCATCTTTCCTAACTTCGTAGCTTCGTCTTCTTCTGGTGGTCCTTGCCCCACGCCCACAAGTGCGTCGCCACCACCCAATCGCATCGGATTCTTGGAGATTTTGACGTAGTTCGGATTTATCTTCGTGATGTCCGTTTCCTCTCCGTGCTGTGCTCTAGAAGTTGTAACGTCCCCTTCCGTGAGCTTCTTGCGACCTGTTGGCGCGACCAAAAGAGGACTCTCTCGATCCACAGGACCCATGCCGGGAAAACGAGAATGCGGCACAACTACCCTTCCAGCTACCTTACCACGACTACTTGCACCTGCTCTATCGGAGACTTTGCTGCTGCCGGGATTTAGAAGAAGTAGCGGACTGAGCATGATCTTCATGGTGCTCGGTAGAAGTTTGTTATTTGTGAATGATATTAGTCAAACAGGGTAGTGCCTCCTACTTCCCTCAATAAACGCCGAGAGGATCTTCATGAAGTTGTAATCAAAGTCTTAACTTAGACGCAGCTGCAGCAGCCATCTGTCTTCGCACTGTGGGTGTCGGATTTGGAAATGTCTCGTCCAAAGACTGCGACCGCGGATTAATGCTGATAGCTCGTGGCCGTCTTCGTTGAGAGGGATTCTGTACGTGCGAAGTCGAAGTGTCAAACGTTACAGCAGCTGCAGACGAGCCTACATTAGCTGAAGAAGATGTTGTTGTTGTTGTTGCTGTTGGGGGTGCATTATGTGTGCCTTCGGACAACTGATGTTCAACATGGTCCTGTTCCTCTTCCTCCAAGTTGATGTCGTTGTCCATGCTATAATGAATCCCTTCGATCGGAGCAGTTTCTAGCTTCGGAGGAGTGCGACTAGTCACTTTCGGACCAGGAGAGGATAGGGTAGACTTTCTTGGTGTTGTTTGAGGCGTGACATCCCTACTACGAGGTGGCGTCCTACCAGGTCTCAAAGGAGTAGAAGTATCCGGTCCACCGAACCGAGGGGAAGCCTGAGGGCGGCCTGGAGATTGCTTACTGCCTTGACGGCTGTCTGGCCCACCTCCGGGTGCGCGTGGACTGCGGAGGGATTTTAAATTGGGATTGGTTAGAAGAGGAGAGTTGGAGGACGATTCCAACAAGGTCGCAGAAAAGAACCGTATACTAATTCAGAGTAAGACGATGTTGACTGGGCCTGGAGCCTCTCTATCCTTGGCGCAAGATTCTTGATGTTCATAGGATGGCAATGTTATTCGATGCATGTGCTTGTACTTCACTGGTTTTGTTCCATCGCTAAAATTCAAATCATAACCCTTTCGGCATCGGTGGTTCTCGACTGGTTTTTCTGCTGTAGACGCCGGACATCCCATCGAAGTCGATGTCATCGCCTTTAGGAATTGTTTTCATCGTTAGAGCTACCGCGTTCACATCCCTGGGCACATCCTTGGTCCGTTTTTCAAGTAGAAAAAGAGCCAAGGATAAAGCTGATGATGCGTCAGCGGCAGCCTTAACATTGCTACCTTCCCATAGCGTTTCTGCAATTCATAGTCTTCTTTGTCAGCGTATGCCACACCATCAACCACGTACACTTGCTGTGCAACACTGCCTTGATTGCTGTTGGTACGTGAGTGTGGCCCACCTCCGCCACGTCCCATCCCAGGTCCCTCAGCTAGTTGAAGCATTTTTGCGTCATGATGTCGAGAGATCTTTTGACCACCTCCACCTTCGATGTCTGAAGTGATGAAGGAATCGTCGTCGCTGTCTATGTGATCTCCTACATTTCCCCAGTGACCAGTGCCTTGGCGCTTCTGGTTCGCTCGTTTCTCATCATCTGCGCGAGCTCGACGTCGACGCATGAACCGGTCTCGACGAGCGCGTAAGGCCTTCTTCGCGACTCTTGCTAGCTGTGGGCCACACTTGGCATGCAAAGCAGCATCGGCGCCACGCTGTCCGATTCTTTTCTTCTGTTTCACGGTTTACTTAGAGGTGATAGTTCCGATGCTATTACAACAACTATGTATAAGCAACGACTGACTGTCTCATGCTTGCATCGTTGAGAAGTAGGAGATGACGGATGCTACCAAAAAATCAAAATGCTGTCTCTATCATGTGAACAATGGACGAATACGCATGTTGATGTTTTGTTTTACACTCCTGTTACTGATACAACTGATGAGTCCTTAATAACCCCATCCTTCGTGACCCCAAAATTTTCGGTCCACAAGGCATGATTCGCAATACCCTGAAGCCATGGATTCGTACTGGAGACTAGAACATCGCCTTCGAAATCGACGATATCTGCGTTTGGTTTTAGGACAACGAAAATCGCTACAGCCGACTCTTGCTGTGGTCCCTGCCATCCAAGCTCGCGCTCCTCTGCTTCTGAACGGTTGAGAGGGATCTGGTAGTACAAAGCTGCAGAGCTTTTGTCAACGGGTTCGGGAACAGGACCCGTTGCACGGTGGAATTGCTGCTTCATCCTTGTTGTCATCTTTTTAGATTTAGATAGTAGTACAAGTACGAGTAGGGAGATAATAAAATTGGTGGTTTTAAGGCTAGAAGAAATCCATCCTCACAGGCATCTTGGTCCCGTTTCTCAAGGGAAAAAAGACGGAAGATGCCGCTGAAGATGGATTTCTTCTAGCTCTAATGGTAGTTCTGATGTGCTGAGGATGCTAGAGCAGCGCATACTAAGAAAAATATTTCTTCAAGAACCGTCAAGTCGCATTTACTTACATGATGGCGATGATGCGAGAGTGCGTGGTTTCGTCGAAAACCTGCCACGCGTCATCCTTTATTAGTTATCACAAATCACTGAGTGGGGCTGGAAGTTGTAGGTGTTCTCTAGAGTCGTGTACGGGTGGATATTTTGATTTTCTTAATCTTATGGGAATAGGAGGTTGACAACAGAGCAGTGGAGGACTTTTACAGAATACATGCCAGCGCAGCTCATAGACAGTCATTGCCACTCTAGTTTTGACAGATTCGACAGACTCATCGTGGTCAACACTCATCGCGGTTAAAACTTGACAGACCGATACCTGCCGAAGATCGCGGAGAACGCGCAGGTGCACGAACGCGAGAGGAAATATTTTTGGCCAGCGCCCCTCCGCACAGAGGGAATGGAGGTTCCTGTGCGCGGAAAATTTGCGACGTTGTTGAGTCATATATATAATGTACCCAATCATAATATCCGCATTTATTTTCTTTCGTTGAGTGATATAATGTACCCAATCATAATCAGTCTTTTAGAAACAGATGAAGAAGTTCTTGTGGGAACCAGAAACTTTTTATTACACTGAGGAAACGCGTCTATTGCGTTATCGCTATGTATTGTCCACTACCACTAGTGTCCATTTAGGTACATCTTGATCTTTCCCCTAGCTGCTTGGGCTTCAGCCTCAAGTAGGCATCTTCTTCAACAAAGCTTTTCTACCAGAGAATCAGCCACTGCCACATTCATCAAAGTTTTCCATCTCCCTCGAAGAAAAGTGCCAAGTCGTGGAATTCCGGCCCAATGCGGTACTTCTTGCCCACAAAGGCCTTTGCTGACGAGATCCATCCTGCTGCCACGGACCATTTTACGCGTACAGTGCCGGTGGCCAAATCCAGGGACTCGATGATTCGGGTTTAGAGGAGAATAAAGCGCATGAAGACTCTTACTCTTTTGTAAGAGCGTGTCACAATGCTGAAGATAATGCTTTGTAGTGGAGAACATCGATCCTCTTCGACACAGTTATCCACCTCCTACTCAATACATTCATCTCTTCCTCTACTTTCATTATTTAGTAGGACAGTCATCCTTAACCAAATTCAGCTTCTGATGCGATCTCTTGTTCCTCCTGGCCTTTCTTCCCCAACCTACTGTCCCAATCTAAACCAGGACGCACTTTGAGACCCACTACAGCGTTTAGGCATGTCACTCTTCGTTCATTCTTGATGTAGTCGCGTACAAGGACACCTTCTACAGAAGATGATGATGCATCTTGCTTGGTTGAAGAACTCTTTCTTCCGTTCTGTTTCGCTTGTTGCGCATCCAACACCAAGTTTCGGACACGACCAAAATCTTCACGATCTCTCTGATGTGCAACATCTTCAAGTAGGTTTTCGACCTCATTTGGCACATCACCTGGACACCATTGTTGACTGACATCGACACGCATGCGCCGCTTGATGAAAGTGTAGAAGCTATTCCTCGGATCCTGTTGCCGATCGCGGTACTGTGGCGCTGTAGTTACTTCTTTGGCCGCACGAATCTTCTCCACGATAAGGAAAGCCAAATTTCTAAATGCCAAATTCAGCAAGAACTGCGGAATGACCGCAATTTGAGGCACCAGATTTACGAAAATGCTCACATAAGTGCTGTGTTCGCCCAGAGGGGTTATCAGCAAAGCGCTGTTGTGTATTTTGCAATACTTGGAACCTGCATAAGGGTCGTCAACGTCTTGTTCGTGTTTCGCTTTCCTCGGTTCTTTTATTCCCGCTTGTTCATCTTCCTTTTGAAGATCCTTAGGACGTTTATTGTCCTTGGTTTTCTCTTCCACAGTACCTCCTTCTGGGCTAATAGTTGTAGATGTAGGTGCTGTAGCACCAGCGGCAAATTTATTTGGAGATAGATTTAAGAAATCTGTGACACTCATTACTTCGGAAGTTGCGCGTGCACTTTCTGAATCGGTCTGTTCATTGGCACTGTGAAATTCGTCACTGGAGGCTTCTCCACTTGCTAGCCTTACTATGCTGTGCGTGTGGTCAACAGCATTCGTCGCAGACTCACGCCCACCCGCACTCTCAGTGGCTGTTGAAAAGGCATTCTTTTTCTTCCCAAATTCAGTAGTTCCACTCCCGCCGGTTGTAGATGTTGAAGCACCAGAGCCACCACTTTTATTCTTAGCCACCAGCAAAGCCTCTGCTTCCTCCGAGAGAGAATCTAGTTGGATCAAGACTTGTTTCGGACTATCTCTCGGCGTCATCGAGTCCCATCCTCGTATCCTGAAGGTACAACGTCGCCAAGCAAAAGGAAAGGGCAGCTTAACAAGAAGACGCACCACAAAGTTAGTCCTTGACACACGCTCCAAAATGTCTGCGCGAACTAAGCCAAGACCCATTACGGTTGGGATCCACAAAGGATACAAGTCGGCTTCGTTCAGGATTGACAATAGAGGAAAAAATTCGATGTCGCAACTTCCTTCCACTTCAAAAGAATAAATGCGGTTTTCTCGATTCGTATTGTCAGAGGGAGAGGACGGAGGAGATTTTTGGCCATTTTCTTTGTCCGAGGCTTCTTTCTTCGGAGTTCCTTCTCTACTGCCTTTCTTAGATGAGGAAGGGGAAGAAGAATGGTGCTATTTGAGATTGCCACCCGCCAATATTGGCGCTGCGACCTGCTTTCTAATTTATAGGTGAAACAAGTAGAAGTATTCATTTTGACTACCACGACTAGCAGAATGTTTGCAACATCAAACTTTCTTCAAAATGATTTCCGTTTAGTCGAAATCTTGTTGCCATCCACAGCCGCATCAAGATCAACCTATACCACACCATAAAAGCTGCATACTGAGCATCCATTCGCATTGCTGTGCGGATCCCGTCGAAGTCCCGGAGTACTTCCCATTCACCAACATCAGCGACGTCATGATCATGAATTGTATCCTTATTCTTCTGGTGCTTTTTCTTCTTTTCACTTTTTTCATGCTGTTGATTTATCAGCTCCAGTGTTTTGCGAATCTTCAGCAGACGTCCATATCGTTCCCAGATCTCCGCGATGGTGGAATCTTTATCACACATCTCCTCTAGGAGACGTTGGTCCTCTTTGGAAAGAATGTCGCCAGCTAACATCAGCTGCTCTTCCGAAAAGCACCATTTCGCCTGTTCCATGGGGGTAGCGTTTCCGGATTTTTCTCCCGGGAGAACGGGATTTGAAGCTCTACTTCCAAGAGGAGGAGGAGGGGAAGACGAAGATGAACTACTGACCATTTTGTTTTCTGTCTTTATGTTTTTACACGACAAAGAATAAGAAGTTTCCTGAACAGTTGTATGAGTATGTACGAGACGAGAAGTTGACTTCGAGTGTTCAACGTGGAGCTACTAAACTCAATTGACATCATATTCGTCAAGGAAATCAAAAGGAGACATCCTTCACACACAAAACTGAAGCTCGAACTGTCAGACATAGTTTGTAGGCGCTGCTCCCTCAGGTCATTTCAATGACTGCTCAATGCTCACTCAGATTCGAACAGCTGCAAGTCTTTGGTACTAATTACGCCAGCGATCTTCATAGCTACGGACACAATCGATTACAACATTGATTTGGCATGCTGTCGGATTGTCTTGTGTTGTCAGAGGTAGTTCAAATTTAGTTTCGCTTGTTGTCAGAGGTATTTCTTAGTAAGTTCCACTATTGAAAAAATGTCTACGGAGAGAATTTTTTCTGAAGTAATATGTCACGATCAGAAGAACTAGAAAGCACGAGGAGTACGGAAGAACAGTTGGCTTTTTGTTGGACCACAAGAACACAGGCCTCCGCGCCTTGGTTCGTTTCTCAGTGGAAACACAAAGTCAGAATCTTGAATGCAAGCAAATCTTGATACTCCTGCCTGAGACTTGCGATCTCTGGCTGGTGTAGTCCCTGTTTGGTTCATTGGCTTGGGTAAGATGAATCATACATCATCAGCATAAGCATGTCAGAAGGGATCGGACTGAACATGCATCATACGACTAGGATCAGTATAACCGTACCTAGTCTATACCTTGACCATTATGATTATGCATTGAATGTGCATTGAGTGTGCATTGGAAGTAGCATTCATGATCATTGACATTCATGTCTTGTGAGATCATCCCGATGACAGTCGAACACGAGGCTTTGTGTGAGCCACTGAGAACAGAACACCACGACATCCGAGAGGCTTGAACCATACATGACCAACACCCCTCCTCAATCGATGGGGGTAGCAGTCCGTCTCACGTGACCGCCTCACTGTGTGTTGAGTCACGGTAGTCACATCTCTTGTTTAGTGTATGTGACTTGGCTACGGTGGTTTAGAAACCAAAATAAACCGAATATATTACGCTATAGTAAGCTAAGTCATCCTCTTCCGTTTCATCATCAGAGGAATCACAGTCATCTTCTCTACTTGTAGTTATTGGGTTATCTACGTGGTGTAGGATAAGTCTACGCTGAGTGGCACTGCAGGTTAGTTTCGAAAGTGGGTCTGCCTTGCTTCATCAAGTTGGTAGGACAGAGCACGATCTTACTAGCAGCGTCGCGCACTCTTAGACAACGTAAAGCATAGCGTCTACTTTTAGGGCGAGTGTCTGTTGCTTTGGCTGTTGTGATCGCAGACTGGTTGTCTATCCACAGTACAGCATTGTCTAAGGAGGGAGACAAGCCGTTCTGTGTGTGTACCAACTGAGTTGGAAGAGGCCTATAGAAGTCTGTGAAGTCATGCATCTCACTGAGCAGGCACTATCGTGTCAGAGGCTGCAATATACTCACTCTCTGCCGTTGAGTAGGCTCTAACCGTTTGTCGGTTACTTCTCCATGCTATGGGTGTACCTTTGTAGTACATAAGTACACTATGGAGCCGCTAGTGCTCCTCATTGTTTTGATGCAGTTCGCGAAACCAGCATCACTGAATATGTTTACTTCTGGCATGTCTCTGCCTTCTGGTAGAAGTTTCTCATATATTTTGTCGAATTCTTCTTCCTTTTCTGGTGAGTATTCTACTCCTTGGTCTTTTGTTGACGCCAGGCATTTTAGGACTTTCTTGGCTGCTTTGGCCATTCTTGTTGACGTGGGTTTACTGACATGTCTAGCCAACGCCGCTACCGGAACAGAGATATCCGGGCGCGCGGTTACAGCTACCCATAGTAAGGCACCAACTACCTCACGAAAGGGATACCCATCAACTATCTTGATCCCGTCTTCAAGAAAAGTTGTTTCGTCAAAGTTGGGCGAGTAAACCGGTTTCCCTAGTTGAACTTCGTACTTCTTAGCAATTTTATCGATGTACTGCTCCATGCACAGTCTGAACGACTTAGCTTCACGGCCATAGTACACGATCGCACCTAAGAAGTCGAACTTTAGCCATTCGAGACCCCAGGGGGTTAGAATTGACTCGACTTCAATCGCACGGCCTGGAGCACGTGTGAAAATGAGGTCTAGTTCGGTCTTGAGCTCATCTTGGTCAGGACCTGTAGCAAGATTGTCATCTACATAGACAGACATCTTCAGGAACTTCCCCGGTGCTTTGCTGCTCGGTTTGCGCCACAATCCAGGCGCAGAAGTACACGGCTCCCAACCAAGACTGGCTAGAATCTCGTGATACCTCTTGAACCATGCTCGTGGTGCGTCCTTCAAGCCGTATAGAGCTTTCTTGAGCTTCACGATCTCGTATCCATGCTGCTCCGCCCAGATGGGTGGAAGGCGGCAGTAGACATCTCGATCGAGTTCAGCATTGAGGAACGCTGAATCTAAATCGAACGGGATCACATAGTCCCCCTCTGACGCAGCAGAAGTGAGGAGCAACCTATTAGCGGCATGCGATACCACGGGAGCAAAGGTGTTTAGCTCTCCCGAACGATCTAAATTACCGAGTACACAGGCTCTTGCCTTGTATTTTCCACATCTCTTTCTTGTTAGTATGATGGCAATTGGTAGAGCCCGTAACGCGGTTGCTAGCTGCTCGCCAGTAGCTTCTTCCCACGTTTTAAAGGCTAGTAGTCTCGCATGCTCAATGTCAATGACTTCCTTCCACTTTTCAGCTTCAGGACTCTTTAATGCATTGGCAACGGACAGCATCACATGTGATTCGACGATTTCCTCATCTTCGTCTATCTCACACGTGCCACCAATAGCACTTGCGAACAGCGCTAAACTCTTTCTGAGTTCTTCTATCTGTTTCTTTGTTCTACGAATCCTTCCTCCAGCCTTGTCCTTGGCTCCTTTCGGTCGGCCACGCTTCTTGCCGTGTGTATGGCGTTCGCCTGCCACAACACGTGCGGGAGATAGCGCTTTCGATCTAGTCGGACTAGGTGAGTCAGAGATCCGACCCTTCGTTTCAACTTTCCCCTCCTCAAGTGAAACACCTTCAGAAGAGTCAGCCACGTCGGATTCAGCCTTCTTGTCTAAGGTTTCAGCATATAGTTCTTCGGGAATACCGGTCGGCCCACCTGAGGTGCGCTCCGTGCCAGAGAACCCCGATTGCTGATCCAGCCTTTGCACTGACTGCCCAATCAAGGGGGAGCCCAGCGACGACGCTCCACACTGCAAGTTTTCCAGTTCGTCGCACTCATAGTAAAAGCCCTTTCTATCTGGCGTTAGCCAGTCTATGTCCTTTATTAGATAATCCTCTCTGGACTTGGCATCTAGGGTAGAGCATTCCGCCCATCGATATCCAAGCTTGCAACGATCGTCATGAGCGAAAGTAGCAACCAACCAACCAGACGACTTCGGACAGAGTCCAAGGAAGACGCCACGGCGATATTTGGCCGAGAGCTTGGGTTCAGGAGTGTTGGCTTGGATTTGTTCACGAAAGTAAACAAGACAACCAAATCGGCGGAGCATGCCGATTTTGCTTTTGGAAGAATTTCTACCAGTTCTTGCTTCTAGAATCTCTATTGGACTCTTTCCATCATGTTCTGGCATTTTAGCGTAATTATGCGGAAGACGATCCCAGCAGTCACTAGCGTATTCAACACAGTAACACCAAAGACGTCGATCAACCTTCGTTAGCATTGTTCTCACGCTGCCAAACAAGGCCCGCATAAAACGTTCAACAGTCCCACTCATTTCCGGACTATAAGGAACAGCCGGACTGTCTGAGACCCGCAGCGATTGCATGAGTTTGGTCATGTCATCACTACCGAGGACTGGTTCGCCATCCCTCCGGATGAACCATACTACCTTGTCATCTAGCGATAAGGAGTAGTCCTGTCGAATGCCTTTTATGACTTGGTCTATTTCCTCCACGCAGTCACTTTTAAGCCTCAGCGGTCGACAAAACGCCTTCTTAATTACGTCACATATGACAACTAGAACACATCTCATAGATCTTACTGAAACAGGTTTTATCCCTACAGCAAAGTCTATTGCAAGTAGTTTGAGGGGTTCAGGTTTGTAGGTGGTCATATCTCTAGAGTTTGCTTGGGATTTTCGTTGTCCTTTATGTAGGTCACATTCTGGGCAACTAACTTGTAGACCATCTATGTGAAAGTGTCCACATCTCCTGTGTAGTTCTAATCTCGTAAGATAGCAACTAGAGACACCTTCTTCAATGGATGCGCAAGTGAAACCAGTTTCATGTTTGTTTTCAAAGAAATTACATGCGAGTACGGGTAGCTGCAAGCGTGGGCGAGCTCTGATGGGAGCGTGGGTGAGCTCTGATGGGTAGCATCTGGCCGGTGTCCGTGTGCACGATACAACCACCAGTGCCTCTGAAATTGAACTCCCACCCTAATTGCGAGCAGTTTCCGTCTCCTAACCGTGGTAATATGCGATCTATGTTTCCAGGTAGAGAATCATAGTAAACTCCATTCTTTAGTCCAAGTATGTTGTTCTTGAGTTTTCCGACTTTTCCGTCTTTAGTACCTGCACTACCTGTTATTCTACAGATGTTGTTACCAATTTCATCGAAATCATCTTTGTGTCGTGATAGATATTTGTTTGCACAACTATCGACTAGAGTTGCTTCTTCTGATGTTCTAGTGTTCAATGTTGTGAAACTATATCCATCTGTTTTGTAGCTATCAGCATAGTTAACAACATTTGTTATTATTTCATCTTCTTCGAAATTCAGCGAACACTTCCCAAATTCGTACGGTTCCATCGCTCAGCTTCGGTTGTGCGAGTTCATGATGTTGAGCATCTCCGCAACCTGCGACATGTGGATCATACCACTGCTATTACCCTTTCCACCTTTGCCTCTAGAGCTACTAGATGAGGCTCCGGTAGTCCAACTTCCCTGTCCCTGTTGAAGGGCTTGTGTGTTATGCCAGCACTCGGAGGACTTGTGTCCGACCTTGTGGCAGCAAGCACAGCGGGGTGGATAGGTATTCTTATTTCCTTTCCCTTTATCTTTCTTCGGCTTTTGTCCGCCGTTCTTTCCTCCTTTGGGTTGGTACCCGTAGGAGTTGTAGACCTCGGCGATTGCCTTCTTCTTTTCTTTCTGCTTGAAACGCTTGAGGGCGTTAGCGGAAATGAAGGTCTTACCATCTGCCTTATTGGCCTCTACCTCGTCACCATCCTCATTCTTATCATCACGAGGACGCTTGTTCGAGGTTTCCTGAACATTGACCGGAAACGCTTTCCCGAAGGAGTCGTTCTCAATTTTGTAGGTTCCCTCCTCGATCAACGTTGTGAGACGTTTCTCAAGTCGGTCTTCAATTTGGTCAAATGTCAGGCCATCTTGTTCTTGCATCCGCTCGATAGTCGCTCTGAAGTTCTTGCAGAACAACTCGGGCAACTTCAGCAGGATCGCTCCGTTCTGTTGGTCAGCGTCGGGCAGATCTGCATCCGGCGGGAAGACGGTGGGCGATTGGTTCATGATGTCGCGGATCTTCGAGAGGAACTCCTTGACATCTGCAGGCTGGTCGCTGTTGTGGAACTTCGTCAGTCCCTCCGACAACGGCTTGACCTTCATGCGCTGCTCCTGGCGATTGTTTGCGTTGAAGTTCCCTTGATCACGAAGTAGAGCAACAACTTCACCAGCATCCATCTCGTCCACCGCGCCATCGTTATTCCGATTGTCGACGAACGACTTGGCCGCACCTTTCAGACTTCGTATGATTACGTCTTTCAGGTTGCGCCACTTCTGGCGGGTCGTTTCTTCACGACTGGCATTACCTTGCGGTATACCATGTGGAACGGCCGGCACGTTGACTACATTCGTGTAGTTCTCAAGTAAGCCTAGGCGACTAGCTTCTTGACGTACAGCTCGTTGCCACTCGCGCCAGTCGGACTTCTGTCCCAACTTCTTGAGGATCTCCCTGGCCTCGCAGGGCATTTTGATGGATTTGTTTATTTTACTACACTACTTCCAGTTTTATTTTACTTTTGCCGCTCAAGGGTTAGACCAGTGCTGGACCACAAGAGCACAGGCCTCCGTGCCTTGGTTCGTTTCTCAGTGGAAACACAAAGTCAGAATCTTGAATGCAAGCAAATCTTGATACTCCTGCCTGAGACTTGCGATCTCTGGCTGGTGTAGTCCCTGTTTGGTTCATTGGGTCGATGAATCACACATCATCAACATAAGCATGTCAGAAGGGATCGGACTGAACATGCATCATACGACTAGGATCAGTATAGCCGTGCCTAGTCTATACCTTGACCATTATGATTATGCATTGAATTTGCATTGAGTGTGCATTGGAAGTAGCATTCATGATCATTGACATTCATGTCTTGCGAGATCATCCCGATGACAGTCGAGCACGAGGCTTTGTGTGAGCCACTGAGAACAGAACGCCACGACATCCGAGAGGCTTGAACCATACATGACCAACACTTTTACAACTGCTCACTCTCCTCCGCTAATTGTATGCTCATCTTTGCGTCTTTTCTTTTCAGCCTTGGCTTCTTTTCGGAGTTTTCTTTCTTCCTCAGTCTCGTTTTTACGTGCTGCTTTTTTCGCAGCCTTCCGGTTCTTGTCCAGGTCTTTCTTACCACTGTCTTTTTTAGCACCCTTGTTTCGACCTCGATTTCCTTTTGTAGACGTAGTGCTAGATGATGAAGATGAAGTTGTAGTTTTCTTGTTCTTTTTGTTCACACCCTTGGTTTTATTCGACGCACCCTTAGCAACATCTTCGGCATCTTTATCATCTGCAAGTAAATCATCCTCTTGATGACCATCACCGAATCCAGGGAACCACTCATCCTCGTACTCATTCAGATCTGTAATTTCCTCCTCTTCCATGATAGTCGGAAGTTCTACTTTTCTCCGTTTTGCAGAAGTTGTATTCTGCTTGGTGGATGACCCTTTCTTTGCTCTTTGAGTTGTGCTCCCTGTGGTAGAAGATGAACACGTTGAAGATGAGGAACTAGCTGTAGCTCCTACTTCTTCCCCGTGAGAATGAGAGTCTACTAGAGAGTCTGGTTTTTTTCTTGGCCTGCCGGGTTTTCTTTTGCTACGTGTTTTTTCAGTTGCTTCGCCCCCACACTGTTGTGGCTGGAGATGAGCAGCACCACTGTCAGCGTCCTCGAGATTCAATTCCTTGTCCGTGGAAAGGTTGTGATTGACGTCCTCATCCTCGACTTCGATTTTCCTCACCGGTGACCAGTCTTCTTTCTCGTTTGTCGCGTCACGCTTTCGCAAGTCGCCAAAGAATCGAACTGCGTCTGCTATCAACCTACGATGTCGTTCCACACGCGCATAGTCTTCCTGAGCTTCGTACACTTCTTTCTTCGCATATAGCACGTCTTGGCGCTCAAAACAGCATTCGTATGCTTTCGTCTTTGTCCGTGCGTCTTCTTGTGCTGTCGTTAAGGCTGTCTGAGCAGCTGTCAGCTTCTCCTTCGCCGCTGTGATTTTGCTGTGCCAAATTTTGAGTTCGTCCTGCATCACAGTCACAGAATGTCCATGCTGGCCACACGCGCGTCGACGTTGTTCTAAGACCGTCTGAAATCGGACATCCAGTGCATGGAGTAGTTCTTGATCACTGTACTCTGCTGCTGCTTTTGCTGTTTCGTCCCTCGAGGACTTGGTCGATGAAGAGGTTGCTCCTGAACAAGCTGCTTCTGCTGTTGCCCTCGAGGACGTGGTCGATGAAGAGGTTGCTCCTGAACATGCTGGAGGTGAAGCAGATTGTTCTCCTCCTCCACATCCTCCTGTAGTCCGCTCGCTCTTTTCCTTCACCAAGGCTGCATGAAAAGGAGCCACATCTCTTATTCCTAAGGTTTGAAAGAACACTGCCATCAGCTGTAGCATGCGGACTCTTGTCTCCCTTGATTTCGGCGGTCGGTCTCGGAGGTGCAGGAATTTTTCGTAGCCTTGCTCGAGCAAGCTGATCTCGGACATCGAGTCGTTTACTGCTTTGGTAACAGTCAACTCCATCTTCCTCTGAAACTCGCGCTTCGCTTTTTGCACCTCTTCACACGCAGTCAGGCACCCATGTTCCTCTTCTCGTGCCTTCTTTAGCTGCTGCAAGGCAGTCTGTAGTTTGATCTTAGAGAAGGAGAATGTGGAAGATGGAAGACTGGAGGAACAAAGATCTTCAAGAGCCCTGGTGCTGCAGTAGAGAGCTTCAAGATATACATATTTATAGGTTGTACCAATGCATCATCTATCAATCTAGGTGTTCTAGAACTTCTAGATCGATGCCTATTTCAGCACAAACAGATTCAACATCTTCAGGAGACACTAGAGGTTGTAGAGAACTAGATATCCTTAATATCATCAACGTAACTTTTTTCGCCTCGCTTTGTTCTTGGAACACAGCAACCTGTAGTTCTTGTAGGAGGTCAAAGTAGGGCTTAAACTCTTTGCGCATGTCCTCCATGAAGTTGCGAAGGATATTATTTAACGCCGTGGCCATCATTTCAAGCGTTTCTTCTTCTACCTCAGTTCGTGTCCCAGGAGGCTTCCGGAAACAATCGACACACAGCGACGCCATCATCTCGCCAACGACTTTGTCCTTGTCGAACTTCCGGAGAACTAGCTTTATCCGTTCGAGCCTCGTAGTCACACGACGTGGAAATGGCCATTTCTTACGACGCGTTTTTTTGTAGGTTCTGGTGTGATGTACATCACCAAAATCCTCAGGTAAGGCATCGACTTCAAAACCTTCTCCGTCGAGCTCAAGAGCATCTTCTCGGTCAACCTCCTCAGCATTTTCTCGGTCAAGCTCATCAAGATCTCCGCGATGGACTTCTTTAGGACCTGCACTTTTAACTTGGCCACCTGCTGGGCAGAAAGTAGAACTGTAGAAGTCATCTATTGCTGCATCTACCTTCTTCTTCGCAGCATCTTCACTGTCAACTTCCATGTCCTCGTGACCTTCGCCATCGATAGCCAATTCTTTTGATGTGTCTTCGTTGAGCTTCAGGTCCTCGTGGCCTTCCCTCTGAGGCGATGGCGTTCCAAGCAAGGACTCTTTCTTCGTAGAGATAGATCCAGTGCCTGTGGCGCCCACAGGCACACGACTCGGACTGGACGACACTGGCATCTTTTAGGTGTTGTTGGTCGGGATTGTGATCATTCACTATATTTAGTATTACAACTGCAAGTAGATGTAGAACTACAATAGAACAAGCACGTCTGCTTCATCTACTGCTACTTCTTGTTTATTGTGGTTAACACTTATAATATAAATAAGAGTCTCAGGTCTCTGTCTCATCTACTATGATGAATTACGACATTGTCCTAGAACGGTGCGAGGGAACAATACGGTTGCGGGGTAGGTGGTGGTAAATGATGAAGAGACTACTTATTAGAGCGAACCTAGTTTGTCTTTGTACCGATGAGACTAGATAACCGCAACCGATACGTCGAAATCGTTTGAGAAGAAGTCTCTCAAGAGAGTATTGACCGATCAAAAGTATGTGACCGTCGTCGACACACAAAGACGGGAGAAGCTAGCAGAAGCACCGAAATGTCACAAGGCCGCAGTCCGATTCTTGTACTGTATTATTACCGAGATTCTTCGAGACGCTTCTTTCCCTCTGCGCTCTAGATAATTCTTTACATGCACACCGTCACCGACCACACATGGTACAGCTTGTTTGCACAGAGTTAGAAACCGCAGGTACCGATGTAAGCAGTAAGTTCCAGAACCTAGTGAAGTATACGACTTCAGAATGAAGGATGGATGCCCTCCGTTTTTTTTTTTTTTCAACACGTGCTAAAGCTAATTGCAACGTATACGTAGCGCTGTAGTGTTGCAGCTACTAGAGTTTCCCGTTTATTGTTTGCAAATAGTAGTGAGAGCCCGAAATCTACGAGCGGGAGCTGCCTAGTGAATCGTCTTATTGAAAAGAGGTCGTGTCCTGCTTGGTATCTTGCTTCGCATCGTCACCTCCACCTACTTCGTCGAAAACGTAAAAATTCCTAGGACCTTCTTCGCCTGTTGCGCTTTCTACCATATCAGGGTTCTCTGTTTCCCATCCGATGAAACCCCCTCTAAGAATTCGGACCTTCCCTGCATACGCTTGCTGTTCAACAGATGAAGAAGTTCCACTAGATGGTGCATCTTCTTGTGTCACCTCCGCACCACTGGTCTGTCGCTGATCTTCTTGTGTAGTTACCGCATTCGCGAACAGTTTCGCACATGTCGGCCCTCGACTTTGCGAAAACATGCAGTGAAAAACCAGGGTTCTCCTTTCATTCCTATACTGGTCCACCAACTTCGGTAGCTGCTGTCGGAACTCCTGACTAGGTATCCATGTGGATCCAGGTATGTGGCCTCCCTCAGATCGATCGTGATCCCTTACATCGATTACCGTAACTTTCTCATGGCCAGGAAAGTTCGTCTTCTGTTGTTGCAACATAAGGCGTAATTCCGAAGCGGTGACGTATGAAACCGCGGCTCCGGGACGGGTAGACATGATCATGGTGACTTTCGTTGTCCTAGCAATACCAAATAAACGCAATATTGTTGGATGGATAAGTATGCTGTTGTGTTTACTTTGATAGATTCACGCTTTGCTCACGCCTGGTGATTCTTTTTTGTAGAAAGAAGCATAGTGCTTGTAAAAGCCTCCTGCAGCTTGAACATTAACGATAGGCAATCACGACCGCAAAGAGTCTAAGCGACTACAACCACCTATTTTGATCTCAGCGTTCGACAACGTTATGATCTTCACCGTGAGTCGTGAGACAGAAAACGCTCTATATTTTAGAGCGTGACAGATCGCTCAGATAGATCATGTGATCTGTCTTGCGATGCACTAGTCGTGAAGCGAATATTTCAGCATGCATCGGATGATTCATGGCGTTGCGGTCAGCTAGAATGACGATCATCAGTCGAAGTGGTGGCAATCTACTTCTTATGCGCGTTTTTTGTGTTGAAGACAAAGCAATTGAGTATCTCTAAGAGCCGCAAGTGTGAGTGTATGTTGATTGTAATTGTATAAGACGCAAGAGGCACAAATCAAATCGATAACCAGAACGATACTAGCAAGAATTGATGTAGTTTGCCGCAATGAAATTCAAAACCAGCAGTGTGTTGCGTATTGGTCCCAAATGGACTTGTAAAAGCCATGATCCGCACTTGCGTCCCCATCTTTATTCGGTGTCGCCATCATGGTCGTGTTCATGAATTTGGAGTTGAAATCGAACTGGTTGTCTACGTGAATCCACGGCTTATTTGGTCCGGTCCAATGCAGGATTTTGCCTGTTGCTATTTTCCTCCGCATCTTGGTCAGGCACTCGTCTTTATCGAAGAAAGACGACTGGCAGTGGTGTCCTAGACCCTCCACATTCCATTCGGGACCCAGAAAACGAACACGCCGAGACAGCACGGAGGCGGAGGCGCTGTCTTCTACTGATGCTGAAGATGAAGGTGTCTTCAGTGTCCCGGTCTTGTCTTCCTCCGCAAGTGATCGTGAATCTTCAACGCCATCAGCTTCAGTTGGTTGTTTATTCTCATTACGAGGAGTACTACTGCTAGACCTGCTGGAAGAGGCACTTCTACTTGCACTGCTACTCCACGAATCTAGGAAATGCGACAATAAAGGTGGTTGACTCCCTAAACGCCAGTATCGTCCATGCTCATTCGACACGCGAAAGACGTTGTCGCTCAAATCCGTCTCTAAATCCAGGCGCCTCCAAAGTTCTAAATCAAACAGCATCACACCCGCATTGAAACTGGGAGTTGAAAAGACTGGTTGCCAGTGTCTGGCTTTCTCATGGTCCCAATTGTAGAGGAACGTGGATAACGGGTTGGGTCGCGGGACTGCAGCTATTGGGGCAATATGAAGAGAACTTCTAATACTCCGAACAGTAGAAGTTCCGTCACGAGTGTGACTTTCCTCATGCAGGGCGTCATCAGCCACCAGAATTTCCGTCACGTCGCCTTGCACAATGAGATCTACATCCAGGTAGAGGATCTTGTCCACAGAAATTATCTCTATTTCGTTCGCGGCAGCTCTTGAAGGTGAAGTTGAATGTAATCTCACTTTTTCCAATCTTCGCGGAAGGGAGAATCTCACGTAGTTATGTGGCGCCGTTAAATTCCCGTGATTGCTGTTGTGCGCATCTGGAGAGATAAAATGCGCCAGCTCTTGCGGATGGAACAGATGAAGCTTCAACCGCGTTCGCCCATACAACAGAAACGTTGCGTGTTTACAAAGCAACTCACCAACTTCCGAGCCGTCGGTGCGTAAAAAAGTGTTTAGCATACGAATGTCTCCAATGGAGAAGACATTATTCCTATTTGCTGCTTTCGAGTACGAGTTTCCACCGTGGCCGTCTAGTACCTCCACGATCGCATCCCCCTCTAGCATCAAATCTCGCAGGTCTAAAGCAATTGTCTCATCCGTGTCCAAAATCATCTCGAATGCAGATGAGCTGAGATCTGCAGATCTGACATCAGTTTCTCCACTTGCACCAGTTTCTTCACTCGTTGCACTACCGCTACAACTTGGGGTTGTATCGGAATCGGATGTAGAACCCCCAGCCCTTTCAAATTCTCGATACCATTTCGCTTTGAAGCTGCACGCAAAAACGTTCATCAAGACTGCTAAATCGTCCTTCGTCAGAAAGAAATGCAAAACGACGTTTTCTGGATGTCTCGTATTCACTATGAGGCTGTTGATGCTAGCGACGATGCCAGGGACTTGATCCTGGTTTCCGGAGAACGCTACATGAGCCACTTTTTGTGCTGGTAGAGCAGATGACAACTGAGGTAATACCCCAGCATCCTATGAAAAGAAAAGGCGCACTCACGCTCAAGAAAGGAGCCACTTTCCTACTTAAATCCTAGCCAAGTTCTTGAGTGTGAGTGCACTTTTTCCTTTCATACATCCTGCTTTTGTTCAGAACCTAATACACGGGTCCTCGTTGTAGCATCCACGTCCACCTTATTATCCTCGTGCTCATCAATAGTATTCTTGATACTCTCCACACGAGTAAGCGCATTCGTCTGCTGCATCCGTTTCAGATCCACAAGCCGTTTTTCGGGCAACATCTTGCTGTAATGACGGGTTACTGCACCTGTGCGTTCGATGTTGGACAACAGTTTCCAAAGTGGCCAGAATTCCGCGGAAATGAGCGTCCTATCGTACAATACCCTAGGCACACCTTTCATTTCCCACTCCAGACCCATCTCGGCGAGAAGTAGCAGTGCCCTAGCTTCTGTAACGAGACTTCGATACGAGTGGTCCTTGGCGAATAGCTCTAGCTCGATTTCATCGAAGATGTTGATCATGTTGTCATCTCTTCCAGAGGATGAGGACTTCTCTATCGGTATCGGTGTCGGCACAATGAATTTCCGATTTTTGAAAGCGACATTGTCAGATAGAAGAACCTCTTTCGATAATCCACTTCCAGTGTGGTCCTTTGATATCGCGATCCTCAACGCTTCACGCATCTTTTTCAGTACTTTCTCCGTCAGAATCAAGTACGAAGCTGAGGCAGCATATTTATCAAATGGCGTGCCAGTAAGCGTGTCCAGAGCGTTTACAGCAGGACTGCGACTCGTTGATGATGTCGATGAAACGCTGGTTGGATTTCTATTTCTATTTCGTTCTCCGCTTGTACTTGTACCACCAGAAGAATCAGGAGCATCACCAGAACCTGATTTTTTAACTACAGCTACGGAATACGCTCTAAACCATTCGACCGTCTTCACCCACTCAGCATCTTTCAATCGTAGCTTCATCTTCTCAAATTCGTGCCCTGAAGCATGGAATTCGCCTTTTGCTTTCATATGATCTGGCGGCCACAAACCCAGATATTTCAAACTTCTACTCTGTGGGGGGGCTACTTGCTGCTCTTGTTGTCCTTGCTCTATGTTTGAAATGGACATCCCAGAGTGGACACCAGGACCAGGAGCACCACCAGCATGATCAAGTCGAATCCCATCCAAGGTGTAGTCTTGCCAAAAACTATGGCTCAGGACGTCTAGGATGGTAAAAACAGGCCATCCAGCTGCAATCGTGTCCCAGAACGTCAAGGGGATCGCTTTTGCGAAGTCTCCCGAAAGAAACGTGGACATAACAACGGACTTTGCGCGATTCTCAGGCTCCATGAAAGGACATGAAAGGGTAGGAGGATGATCAGAACAAATTTACAACGAAATCGTGGTATGAAGGTTCAACCAGACACAAAGTGTCCCGGTTCTTCATCTCAACACTAGGTATAATTGCTGCAGAAAGATGAATCACTCTTCCTGGAACAAGTCAAGATAAAAACAAATTACGGTTTGATGGCATCTCCATCTACCTGTTCGAGTTCAAGAGTTACGGCGAGACTTGGACCCTAACAATCTGCTCATTGGCCTTGGAATTTTGCAAGAAACTATTTATTACTCAAAAGAAAGAAACTGAGTGCATCTGTGCAGAGGAGTACAAAACATACAATCGCTTCAAAAATTAAAATCGCTTCAAAGCTGCATAAAAGAAAGGTGAACAACCCGACGCAGAAGAGACCAATGTAGCAGTCCGTTTGTGGCTTCGATTTGGCTACCAGGAGAAGTTCCGTGATCAGGTCCATGTTGTGACTCTGCGTTTCTATATCGTCGAAAAAAAGCCACAATTTTCGTTTCACATCCAACCAGTCGAAATCTTGGTAGCTAGCGCATTCCAGATCCAACTCAATGGCGTGCTTTTCAGCTTTTGTAGGCTTGCCCCAGACCTGCTGCGCCTTGTTTTGCGATCCCGGGCCGATTGCGTCGGTTGCTTCTCCTCCGACTGCTACTGCGTGTCGATCGCGCAGCGCTGATGCGACAAACAGAAGTATCTTTACAGCTGTCGAGGACGAGAACAGCAAGTTGCAACGCAAAGACGTCGACCGGTGCCTCTGCTTGTTCAGGTTCTTGATAGTCGCAGGCAATTCGAAAAAAAACCCAAAAAAGGACGTCGTTGTCCAGTGCACCATCCTGCCCAGCATGGCCACGACAGGGCCCATCTGGTTTTCTCTCGACGTCTCTCTCGACTTCATCCTTTAAGTTTACTCTTCCTCCTTTCAGTGAGGAAGCGGAGGATCCGGACCTCCTCTCCCATGATTTCCCTCGATTGCCTGAATGGGCTTGTCGCTTTGAAAAAAACATATTCACAAATCAGAATCTGGGCAGCGATTGATCCCGTGACTATGTATCTCTCAGATCATGATCAGCGTGCCGGGAAATCTTCCAAGAATAAACTGCCGCTTGGCAGACTTGTTCAGATCGGAAGATGCGCGACGTGTATATCGAGGTTTTCGCTTTCTGCAAAAGAGAACATACAGAAGAAGTGCATCCTGTATAGAGCTTTTTGTCTGTTCGATGAGGTGCGGTGTGCCTCATCTTCAGGTTTAGTCAAGCAAATGTAAATGATCACTGCAATTATAACTAATTCTTGAGCATAGTTTTATTTTGGGTTTGAACAGGTTTAAGTCAAAAAAGTCATAGCTCAGGAGGCTCCAACCTCGAGCCTTTGTTTCTTTCTGTGTTTTCACAAAAGCATGTTCGGTTTGCGATTGAAGTGCGGGTTATGTTGGCATTTGACAGCTGTATCGTTGAAAAATTACCTCCTGCACTAGCTGCAAAACTGGCAAAATCCAAAAGCATGTCATCTCCTCTTTTGTCTTCGTCACACACACTTCCGCAAAGCGCACAACTCATACTCGACACGTGCTCCAAAGATGAGGAAGATGAAGGCTTTGTTGATCCACCCTGATCATCATGTTGTTCAATCGTATTGGTGTTATGCCCAGGTGAGGACGATGTTGAAGGCTTATCCGTTGTACCCTTACCTCCTACTTCATCCTTCGAATGTATCATGCTACTGCTCGACGCACTAGAAGGGTATGGTCTAAACGGTCCGTCGTAGTGATAACGGTTGGATGGCCACTCCTTGCAGCGACAGTTCGGAAATTGTCGTTGATACATGTCACAGCGACGGACACACGTGAAATCCGTGCAATAGCTGCATTCACTCTCTGGCTTGCACATCAAACGATCGAAATCATGTTGCTCTCCCCGTTGCGCACACAAGTCCTGTGATGCGCTGCCTTCTCCTTGTGCTGGTAAGAAGTAGTCAGTAAATGAGAACTGTGGGCAGTGCGCTCCACCACAGACACGGCTTTCCTCGTGATAAAGCGGATTCCCTCGTATGCTTTCGCATGCACCATGGTGGAAGCCAAAAATACAGGTGCTTTTCCAGTCCGTAGATTAGAGCCAGAGGCACAGAAAAGGATAAACCTTTTTTTCAGAACATCAACATCTCTCGCTTGACTTGCCTGTATGTACTCAAGCGGATGCACCAATTACCTAGTTGAGCTTGGTTCCTTTTTCCTAGAATCGACCGATTTCTTTCCTAGATCCAGCGAATTCCTTTCCTAGATCCAGGGGATTCCTTTCCTAGATCCAGGAGATTCCTTTCCTAGATCTGCAAGCTTTCCAATCTTGAAGTCTTGATCTGCAACTTTTGGACCCATCGAAATCACTGAACAATTTGAATTCGCAAGGATCTTTCGGCATTACGTGGACAGTTCTCAGGTGGCGCGAGACTGTGCAAATGGAAGCGCAGCCACAAGCCTCAACGCGAACAGAAAGGGCCCCACTCGAGTTGACATCCGGCGCGAGCGTCACCGCTGGTTATTTTTTGCCGAGTGAATTCTACTGGTGAAACAATGATAAGTAGACCTTTGGACTTGTTAGTCTTAGTTTGGTTTTTACTTTCGCCTTCCGCATCAGGTCACTTAAATAATAAATAATCTCGGGGAGTTCTGTGTCTGTCGTGTTTCAATCTTCACACTTTTCGAAGGAATGAATATAGTGCGTGGCCAGTAGCAGTGTCTACAAGTCACGCTGGGTAGTGGATTACGAGCGCCAGCTTTCTCTATCATGTCAATTCTACCAGAACCCTAGAGATATCGATTTAGTTCAGCTGCACATACTAGACGAAAACACTGACGCAAACACGATGCCAGTGCAGTTCGGTACTAGTTCTTACTTTGGACGCATTCCATCCTAGTTCTTAAGACCAAGCCAAAGCCATACCTAAGGACCGAGCCAAAGTCATGAGGGCGCGCCTCCGATGCCTTCTATAAATATTTTTCTTGTACAAAAAAACTCGCGACCCCGTGTGTTTGGTTACGCTGTGTAGTTCAACTTCTTACTCTTTACCCCTATGAATGAAAATACAATTACAAACCCGCAAAACTACTTACATGGAGGGAAGATCGAAGCGACAACCTGCCTCGACAAAAGGGCCGAGAACGAGACCACCGGTAAGGCAGCTACGCAGGTATAGCTATAAGCTTGCACTTGCTTCTATAATATTCAACCAGTGCCACCTCTGGTTTTCTCGTCATGATGACTATGGAGGACCACCGCGGCCCTTAATCCTGAATCTTGAAAAAATTAAAATTGCAATCGTATGGATGAAGATCTCTATGAATGTCTATCGCCATCGAATTGATAAGGCTGACCATCTTACTCTTTTCTACCTACATTCTCAACAAGAAAACGAAACTGCTTCTCTTAGTGCTGCGGTGTAGATGCAAATTTTGTACAAAAACAGTAGCAGCATCATCATCAGGATCAGGAAGCAAGTTACGACCCAAATAATTATTTAAGCAAATCCAAAAATTTTCCACGTGTTTCGCGATTTTGCTTAGTCGTCTAGCTTTTCTATACCATGCACATGACTCGGAGGAACAAGAAAATAATAAATAGTAGCAGTTCTTTATGTGGTCCTTCCATCTAAACTCCTTACTTATCTTCAAGTTGGTTTTGATTCTTATCAAATGGCGACCAGCCAGAGGCTTTCCGCTTATGTGAAAAGAGCGGCAGCCCCTTGATCTGCCACCAGGGGTAGACCTGCGACCAGGAAAATGAAGACCGTCTTAGACACGCACGCGGTCACATTATGAACGAAATAGCTGGCACAAGCAGAGAGTATAGATATACCCCCATAATTCTAGTGCTAGCTGTCCATGTAGTTGTACTTGTAGTTCGTAGTATTATGCTAGTAATAATATGCCCAGCATAGTCTGGGCGTGGTTCTTCTTCATTATGGAAAGTCTTCAAATACAATTATTTTTATTAACAAGGGGCTCAGCGTTCTGCGATGTGTGGATATGAGTCGGTAAGTATATCTATATTTATACCTCAAATAAAATTAAACTAAAACGACTTATATCAACAACGTTTCTAATAAAGATAAACAAAATGGGGCCCCCTACTCCTTTCAAGTTTGTATAGAAGAGGAAGCCTGCTAGTTGGTTGGGTTGATCATAATCGTACTAAATGATCTTTGAATATGAATTCGCCGCTCTCATTATGCTAATGGCTGCAATTACAAAATACAAACGCAGCGAACTTTTCGGTAAGGAAACTCAGGCGAAGCCTATGAGCCACCGGTCTGATCCTACAAATGCACCCAAGTTCGTTCCTATCATGTAGATGGAGTCGTAGCGACAACAACGACAAACTAATAGAGACACTACCAGAGAAGTACTTTTCTAATCATTTTTTTCCAACTTTCCTAAACACCCGCCCCCTAGACGCACGGTCTCCACCCCCTACCTCAAGCCCCACCTCCACCAGGTGCATTCGTCCCTTTCTGCTGGTTCTCCATTCGTCTACTTCTTTTTCGCCTTTTTGCTTCTGTTCGAACTTGCTCTAATTCATCCCGAGGCGCATCCTAGGCGGATTCCCTTCTGGGGAAGCCTCCTGGAGATGCTTCCGGGTGAATCACCCAAGGATGAACTAGGTTACGCCTTAACGTTAATTTTAGTTCCAGCAACCGCAGCACCAAAGACAAGCATCTTCTTCTTCTCCCCAGCAGCCTCGTGCTCATTCTCATCACCAAGCTCGTTGTTGTCATCGTCCAGGCCTTCTGCTGGTTGTTTTGTGCGCACGAATGGCATCAGCACCACAAATCGCGGCTTGTTTTGCTGAACGCCTTCCTGGAAGAGGTTGCTGCACTTTTGTTTGTAGTTAGAAGAATCGCAAAACTCTTGGCGCTTCTGCCCGCGGTTGTTAAGTACGCCTTTCCTCATTAAGAAAGACATAGACGAAGCAAACCGCACAAGAAGCGCCAAAAGCTTACGCGCCCCTAATGTGCCACGCGCTCTTCGGGTCATGAACTGGGTGGGCCTTCGTGGTCTTGGCGTCATGAACTGGGTGGGCCTTCGTGGTCTTGGCGTCATGAACTGGTTGGGCCTCCGTGATCTTGGCGCCATGAGCTGGGTGGTCCTTCGTGGTCTTGGCGTCATGAACTGGGTGGTCCTTCGTGGTCTTGGCGTCATGAACTGGGTGAGCCTCCGTGGTCTTGGCGTCATGAAGATGAACTGGGTGAGCCTCCGTGGCCTTGGCGTCATGAACTGGCTGGGCCTTCGTGTTCTTGGCGTCATGAGCTGGGTGGTCCTTCGTGGTCTTGGCAGTAGCGCTGGTAGAGCTGGCGCCCCCAGTATTGTTCTCCCTGTCCCTCATGAGTCCGTCGATGGTGTCGTTTGCTCTTATTAGAAATTGACTGGCGTCCTACGTCTTGTTTTCTCGTTAAAACAAGGAGAAGACGCGGGAGAGAATGGACTTCCCCAAGCCTTAACTTTATTTCAGTAGCAAAGCGGTCCAGCGCCTTGAAGTCCTCTACTTTCGCTAGGACCTCCGCCCGGAGCTCCCGGCTCTCCTTCATGGCCTTCATCGTCTCGTTTGAAAGTTCTCAGCGTTAGAGGCTGAGCCAGTTCATACCTGTCACGCCTAGATATTTGCCACGTTTTTCCTTCAAGTGTGACAAATAGAACGCACAGATTTGAAATGCTTCAACCCTTACGAGTAGAGCTGCTGGAGCTCCTCTTCCCGCTCTCGCGAGTGCTTCAGTTCGTCTTTCACGCCCTTAGCTATCACTCCTACGAGCGAGTGCTCGTCAAGGAGGTGATCTTTATCGTGTTGGTTCGCGTTCGTTTTTTGGTCCGCGAGGTTGCTATTAGAGCGGTTCGGCCTTCGTCGCTTATATTGATGGAGGGGCATCCTCCAAAAGCCTAGCGCTTCCAATGGAGAGAAATCGACCGAAGTAGATCAGGTGGAACGAAATAGACAAAGTGGAACGAAAACGAAATAGAGAATATGGAACGAATTAGGAAGAACAGAACGAAATAGACTTAGACAACGCGGAACGAAATGTCTACTATGGAACAGAGCAAGGAGAGTGAAACGAAATAGACAGAGTGGAACTAGATAGATCGCGCGGAACGAAGTAAGCGCAACTGAACGAAATAAATACTGATAACGTAAGACCAAGTAATGCGCTACAGATGAACCAACTAAAAAGAGCCGTAAGGGTGTATTGCTCCGCCAACTCCCGAAGATTTTGGTGATGCGCTGCCAGCTGCGTCTCCAGCTCAGCCGTTTTCTCCTTTTGCTCTCGTAGCTTCGCCTCCTGCTGGTTGCACATGTCCCGCATGTCCGTGTACTTTATGTCCGCGACGTCCGATCGCTGAGTTGCTTCCATCATCTTGCCGAAAGCGCAGTCACGGGCTTCGATGGTGGCGCGCGCCACTGCCTGACGCCCTGGGCTCGGCTGTCCATCATGACGTTGCTCGGCGGCATGCTGTAGCTGTTGCTGATCTTGATCAGTGTCCCAATCCGTCTGCGGCATTTCTTCGCCCGCAGCACCCTCAGCATTTTGCCCTTGCTCGTTATACCAACTCCACTCGCCATAGCGCTCGCCCTCGCTCATCTGCTCTTGTTGTGGGGCTCGTTGTTCGTCATTCTGTTGCGGGTCTAGCTGTTCGTCTGCATCGGTTTCAAGATTCTTAGAGGGTTCGCCATTCTGTTGCGGGGCTAGCGGTTCGTCTGCATCGGTTTCAAGATTCTTAGAGGTAAGCGTCTAGCGTTCTTTTATCCCGCTTGTTATGGCAATGGCTGCCCCGCCTAGGAGAGCCATAACAAGCGGGAACAGAAGCGCCCGGGGCCTAAGCCTACCCTTAAAATTCGGCTCGTTTACCTTCGAAATTCGCATGATGTTCGTGGCAGGTTTGCGGGCTGAGCCGAACGAGCTAACCCGGCGGGCCCCTGATCGCTGCAGATCAGGTTTGTCCGGGGTGCGGTCGACCGGCTTCGGCGAGAAGTAGCGCGTCATTGCGATTTTACTGCGAAACATCCCAGAAGGTCGCTTGTTCGAGTTCGAAGCTACTTGTGCGTTAGGGCTGGCGGTGGAGATGATGGTGGTGCCTGGCAATAACGCAGCAGGACTATCCGCCTGGATTCGCTGGAGGAACTGTGGCAGCGGACGATCTCCAAGCACTGCGTCCGACGTCGTGGCGGCTGGACGTAGGACATACTCGCCGCCAGTACCTGTGAAGTTGCCGCTCGAATGGGAGGAAGAAAGTCAGACGCAGGATAATTGTGACTCTGAGTCTGAGGTTGATCTTGTTCGTGAAGAGTAAGAACGAAAACAGTAGAGAGACTGGCCACGATATGGGCACGGTGGTGTCTCCTTGCGAAAGTAGTCCTTTGATATTAGAATAGAGATGCCCTCGCATATGATAAATAGTCTACGTATGTTTATACCAGCGGAAAGCTTGTTCCCGAAGTCGTTGGAGATCAGGCGCGGCGAGGACGGTTTGAAATTCAAAGAACTAGGAGGAGGAATCTCCGCAGGCGCTCGCAATTCCTCGACTGTAACGGCGCGCTCAGTCTCAGGACGCACAGGAGCCGCTGGTGGTTGTTTGCCCACGCCGTGTCTCCGGAAATCGGCAAGAACAGCGGGAGGGAAATCAGTAACGCCAGGAAAAATGCGCTGGGCAATCTTCCTCAGATCTTAGAACTATCCATAATTCATCTTTCGAGTGCATCCTTGAAAAGTATGGGAGGGCATTCCCTTAGGATACTCTTCCATACGTTTCAAGGACGCGGCCAGAGATGTATTAGGCACAGCCTTAAAAATCATCGTCAGAAATCGGGTTGGCAGCGCTATCGTTCGTAGGTGATGCTGATGCTGTCTTGTTCGACTTCGAAAGCGTCTCCCTCGTCATCTTGTTGCTGTTGTTGTTGTTGTTGTCTGGCGTGATGTCTGCTTCACTCTCCTGACCTTCCGGGATCGGGTGCAGGCGCGTGATCGTGATCAAGTCCTGCAAATCGGAGGGGAAAGCCTCAAAGCCCGGAGGCAGCGGAGGCACACCAGAGGCACCACGATAGCCAGCAGGTTCGACGCTTCCTGGTTGATGTTCATTTACCTCCACTTCGTCTTCAGCAGCCTGCTCCCAGTCATCATCTTCATCATCATCATCAGGATAATTGTCGCCACCGCTATCAATGCCTGAATTATCGTTGATGTTGATCTCATCCTGCTCCTGCTGCAGATTTGTGGTCTCCTTCTTCATCGTAGAAGCGTTGCCTCCTTCTTCTGCTAGAAGTCGTTGCTTGGCTGCGTTCTCTTTCTCCGCCCTCCTCGCTTTTTTCTTTAGAAGATATTTCCCAAGTTCATCCCTGAGGATATTCTTCAAGCACATGCGTCAAAGTCTATGTTACGACACACGCGGCGGCTGGAAGATACCTCTAGAGATGGCACGTGACTAAGCAAGACAAACTAACCTTAACTTTTTTGCGCGGATCGAGTTCGGGTCCGGCTTGCGTCCAGGGCGCTTCATCGCCGGCCCAGCGGAGCCAGATTCTGAAGCAGGAGACGCCTGCCCATTTGCTTCCTTGCCGGGGTTGGTCTTGCTCTTGGGCTTGGACTGCGAAGCCTTTTTGGCACTGTGGCTTTCGTTGTTGCTGTTGTTGTCCTTCTTCGTCGTTGTTGATGAGGAGGCAGAGCCTTTGGCTGTCTTACTCGTAGTCTTGTCGTTGCTCGTCTTAACGCCCTTACCTTTTTTGGCAGAAGAAGTAGAAGAAGACGCAGCTTTGCCAGCGCTGGCCTTCTTGTTCGCCACAGAAATAGCCGCCGCCTTTTTACTGGCGGACTTCTTCATCGAGCTCATCTTCGCCATATTGTGTTGACCTTCGAAGAATTGCGGCCGGTTCTGGTTGTAGCCATACTGCAAGAGCTGCTGACGAAGGTGCAGCATATTCGTGGATGGATCGGGGCCTTTCGGTTTTCCCATGCCGTCTTTGCCTTTCTTTCCCATGCCCTTGATGTTGGACTTGCCGGTAGGCATTCGCATCGACATGACCGAAGAAGAAGGCGATGCACCTGCAAGCTGATCATGACCACGAAACAGCGAAGAGGAAGACCCAGAAAAAACCGTAGACGACGATGTAGGGGCAGGATGATGAAACACCGAAGTGGAAGAAGACGAGGATGCCCCAGGCGCGCCCATAAGTGTACGCGTAGATGTAGCAGAAGCAAGCTGAGCGAACAACGCAGAAGATGTAGTTGTAGACGACGAAGCTGCTGCATACTGCCGACGCAGTGAACCGCCGCTGTTGGTGTGGGTAAACTCCGGCACTATCGGCACTGGCGACAATTAGAGCATAAAGCAACCCACTCAAGTGTGAGCTTCTTCATATGAACCCAACCGCACACAGCCCCGCGAGAGTGTAACGAAATAGAAAACAAAATGTAGCGACTTATAAAATGTAACGAAATAGAAAGAAGCAGAAAGGTGGCACTTGTTTGCAACCCTTAAGGCAGAAGTGCTCCCAAATCTTGAGAGTGGAACGAAATAGAAAAGGTAACGAAATAGAAAACGGAACAGAATAGAAAATGCAACGAAATAGAAAGAAAGGAGACACTTTGCAACTCTTAAGAAAGCAGCCACTCTTTTCCCTTTCCTTTTGCATCTTTGCCGGCTCGCAGCTTGATCGCAGACCCGGGCAGCGAGTTGTTTAGCGCGGACAGCATCGAGACATCCATCCAGCTCTCGCCCAGTGGGTTTTCGTTGTTCGGGTCGACCAGTTCGTTCATGAAACTCGAGTCATTGTACTCGCCTGTTCTGACTGCCTCAGCCGTCACCTCGTCGACCGCTTTTCTCGTTTTGCTGTCCGGTGCCGGCGCCGTTGGATTCATGTGCGCGCCGTGCACAGATGCTGCCAAATGCGACTTCTTGAGGCTGTTCGGTACCGGCGCCGCTGTATCCACAGCAGACGCTCCCACGCGCGAATTCTTGAGGTCTCGCTCCATTTTGATGAGTTGGTGTAGATTAGAGGGGAAGGGGATGAAAGATAGGTAGAAAGAACGACAAAGCCAAGAATCAGGAAAGGCGCCAGCGGTAGCCCCGGCTTGACACTTTTCATTATCTCTAAAGCTTAAGCTTAGGCTTAAGACTAAGCTTAACCTTAAGAAGCAGCGACTACGATAACGAAAAGGAAAACGATAACGATACGCATACGCCTACTAATTATGGCTAATATGGCGCGCCGTAGTAGGATCGTAGCGCATCTCGTAGAGCTTTAAGGCTTTCGCTTTCGCCTTTTTGCTGTCGATCACCGGATTCCAGATGATGTTTTCACTCGTGTCCTGACAGACACCAGAACGCCAGAAAAGATTTAAAAAATCTTCTGGGGTTGTTTGAACCACCTGGCCGGGGTCCACGAACGTCAAGCCGCCCCCGGCGTCTTTCCTGAAAAACTTCACTGCGTAAAAATTGGAGCAAGGGGGGGATGATGGTGCAATACATAGTAGCGCGGCTATGCGCCAGCAGAAACTTAATGTCTACGAAATACGCAGTAGAAAGACATCACAAAAGCCATAACACAGCTGCCAATTCCTCCAGCCAGATCAACCGGACGCATTTCGACAACGGTATCAGCAGGATGCGCAGACGAAACGTTTGCCACAAAGACAAAGCTCGCGCCTGAATTGATGAAGTCAGCGTAGTGGTTGCTGTAGTCGAGGACCGGCAAAACACATCCTTGGGTGAATTGTTTCGGTTAGAGGTTGAGAGTTGGCGTCGCGTATTTATCTTAGGCCATTGGCATTGATATGGCTCTCCTACTTGAAGAAACCACAGAGACAAGATGCACAAAGAGACGCCAACTCCCAAGCCTTAATTTAACGTTGGTTCTTCCGAGTCCCATTGGGTCTTCGCTTTCGGGAGGGCAAGCGCACTACTCACGATTCCTTCCTCCTCAACCATGAACTTATGCAGCTGGCGTTCTGCGCGCTCAACGGCGACCATGCCGTTGCGGATGTAGAATCCCGGCGGAACAGTGCACTGCTGCGTCAAAAACAACGATTAGAGGCACGAAAGATGAGAACGAAAAGTAGTACGAAATTAATTGAAAGAGAAGCAGCGCGAGATGCTGCGACGGTATTAAAAAAATTCAGTGAGCCGCTTCCTTAAACTTCATCGCCACACCCTGGAACGCTGACCTCGACGAAAGCGGGGCGGACATTCCCGACGAAAAAGCTATCCACTAACGTGTCAACTGGCAGAGTGTTCCATTCTTCTGAGTCTTCCACACAGACATGGCCCTGCACCATCTTGCGCAAACCTGAGGCCGTGTGTGTGTGTGTGTTAGAGTGAGGCACAAAATAAATGGACCGATAGAGAGCATAAGCATGCTGATGAAACACAAACAATAACAAAAACAAACTTCAACTAGGGAGGTCATAAATGAAACAAACGAAGCAGCGGCTCCATTACAGAAACAAAATCAAACCCGTAGGCGATGCTTTTTAGATGTTCACTACCTGGCTCGTCCTTCTCTTCGTCGTCGTTTGCCTGTTCTTTCCTGTTGCCTCTTTGTTTCTTTGTCGGCTTTTTGACTTCAACGTTCGCCCATTCGTCCACAATGAGGATGTGGAAGAGGTTCTGCGGAACGTAGTCGAGGGATGCGCTTCCATTGTTTTTGCGCACGTGTTCCGCGCGCTCAGTGGCATCAGGGTCGTAGTTTGCGTCTAGGCGTTCTTTGATGCGGTTCATTAGAACGGTTCAAATATTGGCGGACTCTTGCAGTAAGCCTGGCCCTGAAGTTATTCTGAGGCTACGAACGAAGAAGACAAGAGAAACGAGATGGATGGAGATAAGCGAACCCTTGAAAGAGTGAGAAACAAAAGGAAGGCAACAAAATCAGAATCACCAAGCGGAGCCATAATTTTGCATGCTCAGCCCTGAACATTTTGCGCTTCGACTCCATGACCTCTTTGATGAGGTCGAGCGGCTGCGTTTTGATCACTTCTTTCCAGCCCTCCGGCGGAGCCGTGCACGCCTTTCCAACCTGCATTATTCCCTCACCTTGCAGGTCCTGAATGTAGACGCCTTTAGTTGGTTCGATCGCCCATAGCATTTCTTAGAGGTTGAGAGGAGGGGGAGGCGTTTGGCTCTTCATTCTTCCACAATCAAGATCAACAAGCAGAGTAATAAATTCGGAGGGAGATGAAAGAAAATGAAAAAGTCACGAAGTAAGTTAATAAGAATCACGGCCGAAAATGAAAAATAAAACTTTCCTCAGCCTTAATTGTTGCCCAGCACTTTGTTCACTTTTATATCTCCAGGCGCTACGATTAGACCAGGCTCCGCCCTCGACAGAAACGGCACATGAGCACCGATGAGGTTCCTGTAGTTCCGCACAAGGTCAGCGCGAAGAGGAAAAACTTCGAAAACAGCTCGACTGTGTTCTAGTTGTAACTCCTCCCGCAAGTCGTCTACCTGGTCTTCCAATGCTTCGAGACGTTCGCGTTCGACGCTGGACAGTTTTTCCTTCGTATGGAGGACGCTAAGAGACCCCTCAAGCCCCAAAAGGCGGCCCATCTTCAGGATGACTGTCCACTCGACTGGGCTCGCATCGAAGATATCTCCAAGAGAAATTAGAAGGGGAGGACTGGATGGGTTTTAAGTTGGACGATCTTCAAGCTTATGGCTATCCCAAAAGAATAGCCCACAGCTCCATAACTTTACGAAAATCGAGCCGCTAGATATGACTATGACAACACGGCCGAAGCGCAACATATAGCACACAATTAGCCACAAAGATGAAACAATGGGAAAGAAAAAGACTACGACGCAGAACTCATCCAAGCCATAAAAACAAGCGGTATTCTCGCAGTCGGTCCTTCGACTTAAACTGGATCCGCGTCTTGGTGCAAAATCCGAAATTTGAAACGATGCAACAACCCAGGAACAAGTCAGTGTCTGGGATGTCTGTCAGCGCCCCCGCAAGGTCGTTCTGTGTGGTGAAGTATTGAGAACAAAGATTTGGGGCGAAACAAATTCACAAGCTACAAGGACGAGAAAGCGTCCCGACTGATCAGAGAGATAGACCTAAAGCAAATCAAGAACGCTAACAGTCGAAAAGAAGTCAAAAAAGAGAGCAAGAACACGATCACGCAGATCAAATCAAAGTCGTGAGAGAGCACTAAAACCAAAAGCAAAACGCAAGTACATGGATAAAAGAAAAGAGCGGGCTTTTCGCGACGCCATCAGTTTCCAAAATAAACGTTGAAGCCGCCTGCTTTGCGATTCCTCCTCCTTGCAAATCATTCCCGTCACCAAAGTAATCCTTGTCAGCAAATGCCTTCAGTTGAGTCATCTGCCCATCCGTGAGCTGATCAGTGCACGCACCTCCAGCGATTTCTTGCTGTTTGGGTTTGAGTGGAGCAAAGTTCAGTTTAGGTTGAGTCTGGGTCATCTGAAAGTGAGTGTGAAACTGGACGGAACTGGTGCTACTACTACACGAGTGAACTTGAAACTGAAAAAGAAAAAGAGGTTCATGAACTGAATAAGTGGCAAGAGTCTCAGCTTCGAACGAAATGGGTAAGCCTATGATGTCCCGCATTTAACAAAAATAGTAATACCCTTAAAAAACTCATTTCGTCCGTGTTGGCAAGTTTTTCCGCGAGCGCTGGCGTCGCCTTCCACGATTTCCATTTTTGCGACGCCATTTTGATTTTTGGTATGACTTGATGTAGCTGCATAGGCATGCTCTTCGCGTCGTCATTCCCAAGCCCCACGGACGTTAGAGATAAGAAGCAAGGTTTTTTCTGAAGTATGGACTTGAAGCACGGACTCAAGGACGAAGCATGCACTTGACGACAAAATCAAAAATCAAAATCAGCGCTAAGGATAATGTTCGACTTTTTAACCATCATAAAAAAATGGAAGCCAATTGCGGAAAAGCAAGCACTTCTGGCAACATTAGAGCTCAGCGCGATTCTCTCACTTCCTGCGTACATTTCTCCCAAGCCTAGCGCGGCGCAGTTTTTTAGTGTTTGGAAGAAATGACGCGCAGAAATGAAACGCGTCGAGCCTTAACCGCAGGATATCCACCTCCTGGCTCGCCCTGTCGATCTTCTCCTGCAGATCCGCAGGCTGCATGTTCTTCGCAGCAATTTGCAAACCCCGGCTGCTATGATTCCCCCAGAGGCCATAGTAGCAGCCATTCAATAAGATCGCATCGACGTACACGAATTCTGAAGGTCAAGTTGGAGGGTTGAACTGGGTGAGAAGAGACGCGAGAATCAAGCAACGAGCCTTCGTTTTCGACTTGATAACTACGCGATATCTCACCAGAATTTAACAAATGGCCGAGGTCAGCATCGACTTCGGATTCGGAACACCCTAAAGAAATCGAAGAAGAACCAGACTAGCTACAGTTAGAGAACGAGCAACAGAAAGAAAGTAAGAGTCTATACGTTTGTGAAACGTAAACGATCCATCCTCCCAGTGAGCCGCAAACTTTCCGACGTTCGGCACGCTTCGGATTTTGTTTTAGAGGGTGCAGAATCATACACATGCACAACATAAACCCAAGGTGAATTCTCTACAATAGCTACGAGACTGCTAGCGAAAATAATTGCTATCCGTATCCTCATGAGAATGAAAACAATAATAAACACGAAGAGAGCCACGCCGTAACTATTCAGATCGATGTGCGTCTGGTATTTGTCGATAACGTCTTTGATATCGCTCAGCATCACAGTTTTTTAGAGCTTAAGGCGCCCCATTTCTCACGTGCATTTCTTCCAATACTAACAACCAAAGGCGAAGAAATGCGCTCGAGAAGTGGACGGATCCAGCCTTAAGTCTTGAGCTTGAACAGCTCTAGAAAACCGTTGATGAGCTCGATTCTGTTCTTCTTTTTTGTGACCCACTCCCGCGTGTTAGAGATGGCATCTTTCGGGTTACAATCTTCAGCGTGTCACTTTTTTCAAGTGGAAAAGAGGACAAGGGCACTGCTGTGCAAGTGCACGATTGTAATTCCAGGAGCCATAAATTAGAGAGCTGACGCGGCGATGTAGAGGGTTCCCGCTGGGTCCACATACACCTCAGGCGGTGCCTTCCACTCCCTTTCCTCTCGTCCAGTATCTATCTCCTCCGCCATTTTGTTTCTGGCAGTACGGTAGTGCAAGTGCTAGCGCAAGTGCAGTTTGTTTTCTGGTAGTGCAAGTGCTAGTAGTATTGTAGTGGAAGATGATGACGAGGAAGCTACTGGAGTGCTACGCCGTCCGCTGATTCTTGTTTCCGTCTGTTAATGTTTTCCTTTTCGACTTTCTTAGTTCTTAATACTTGTAATCACAACAGTGAAAATAAATCTAAATGTAGAATGATACTGAAAGAAAACGACTTACCTTTTATACTGCTTACAGTGAAAATAAATCTAAATGTAGAATGATACTGAAAGAAAACGACTTACCTTTTATACTGCTTACAGTGCTGACTTATGTTATTGCTCGACTTAACACGCTGGCCCTAAACGTTCTAGGTTACCACGTAAGTGCTCTTTTACCTTTTAAAAAGTTGGTCGCTACTCACTTGAGATCTAAGAGAGTGAAGTTCTGGGATGTTGTTGAGACGCCTCCAGTGATATCGCGGGATATCGTGAAGGCGCCGCTAGTTCTGTTCTGCAAGTCGCTAAAGTTCGAAATACGCGCCGAGCTTTCTACTTCGTGCAGCTTTTGTTGCTATTTCGTGCCACTTTTGGCATCACTGCGAAAGTCTTCAGTTTTGTTCCATTTTGACTTTTAGGTAAGATATGTAGTAATTACCTAGTTATATTCAGATCTAAGTAGGTAATTTGGGGATATCTTTACTAGAAGAGAGATTTTCTAAATTTTGAACATTGGGGAGCTTGTTTCTGGATGCGTTAGAGATAGAACGAATTGAAAAGATGAACAATTTTGCTCCAATTTGACTTTTAGGAAAGATATGCAGGAATTACCTAGTTATATTCAAATATAAGTAGGTATTTTGGGGGTATCTTTACTAGAAGTAGGATTTGCCAGCTTTTGAGCATTGCGAAGCCTGTGTCTGGATGCGTTAGAAATGGAACGATTTGAAAAATAGAACGAAATGAATCATGGAACGAAATACATTTTGGAACGAAATACATCATGAAACAAAATACATTTTGGAACGAAATACATGATGGAACGAAATACATTTTGGAACGAAATACATTTTGGAACGAAATACATTTTGGAACGAAATACATTCTAGAAGGAAACGAAATACGAAACGAAGTACATGATGGAACGAAATGCGTCCTAGAGCGATACGAATTATGGAACGAAATGAATCATGGAACGAAATGAATCATGGAACGAAATACATTTTAGAACGAAATACATGATGGAACGAAAACGAAATGCATGCTGGGACTAAATAAATTGTGGAACGAAATAGAAATACACTATGGAACGAAATAAATTGCGGAACAAAAATATTACAGTTCGGAACGAAATAGATCGTGGAACGAAATGCCTCTTGGACGATATCACGCATTGCGTGACGATGTAAAAAGGTGAACGAAATAGACAGAGGAACGAAATCAAAAGCAAGCTCACTCGTCCACAATCGAAAAAAAAAGGCTGAGCTTTTTTGCCTTCCTTCTTCTTCTCTGTTCTCACGTTGACTTAAAGAAACATCCACGAACATGCATGAGCGCCGCCGTTTTGATTTTCTTCGATCATATCTCACCAGTGGTTTCATGACTCAAAGGCAACGAGATGGATGCAAGTCGTCAAAAAAAAGGCAACGGCACCAAAGCGCTGCATTCTCATTCGCATTCAGATTCACACTCAGGCGACCTTCAGACTGCAAGGATTCAACTCAAGCGAGACCTTGGAGCTCACTATCGCTTCGCGTCTCAATGTCAATTCACACAGATGAAAGAAAAGCCATGGGCGTAGAACACAAGACAAGCCGTCACTTATCGTCCTCCGCGTCCACCTGTTTCTCGTGGTCAAAGACTATTACTCTGTGATCAATAACTCCAAAAGAAACTTATCCAGGGGAAGGGGATGCATTCATAAAAGCAGCTGAATTTGTCGGCACAACTGTGGGGACAAGGGGAGCAGTACCAGAACCAGAAGAGAAGAAGCTAAGAGCCTACAACTAGGGCTAGCAGTAGCACCAGCGTCATCGCCATCACCTCCAGCTCCACTACTCGACGGTATCCCTAAGAGCGTCGGCCCCCATCACCAACAGCAGCCCTCGCCTTCGCCGCTTCTTATCGCCCCATTTGGTGAAGTCTTGATGATTTAAAAAGGGCCCAAAACACACGCGAAGGTAACCAGCGAAGCTCCTCTTTTGGTGGTCGTCTTAGAACTAAAGGAAACCCATCCCGATTGCAGTGAGATAGACACTCCCTGACCTTTTACTTTCCCATCCATTGAAAGCGGTCGGGCTCGCGGGATGCAATGCTTTTGGGGATGGATTTCTTGCAGCCTTAACCTTCCCCGTATTTTGATTTTCGCAAAGTTGGCGCTACTCTGTTGATGTTGAAGTTGGTGCTGATGTTGATGTTGAAGTTGGATCTGTGTAAGAATAGAATCTTACTCAGGGCCCTCGCTATCCTCTTCAAGGGGAAAAACTCGCCCGATGAGCGGCGCGAAGATGCTGAGGACCTTCTCTAGGCCAAAGACGGCATCCGCGTACTCGCTTTTCTTACCCGCGTCACCTGTAGATGCGCCGCTGCCTGGACTGCGCACCACGCGGCCACTGTCCCTGACCAGTCGCCCCATCTCTACTCTGCGTTCCTTCAGGTTGTCATACGCCTGCGCCAGGTCATCCAGCCAGTCGAGGGAGCCATTGCTCGCCGCGCAGAATCTGTCCAGTTCCTCCCTCTCCCGAAGAGAATCGTCCATCACCTGCCGCGTCCTGTCGAAATCGAGAAGAAGTCCCTCCAT